ACACTTCAACCTTGGGGGGTGGGGTGGGGCTAGGGAAGAAAAGGGTAGGATCGGTAGGTGGTTCACCAAATCGACTGGTTCCTACCTCGTTCTCCATTCCCGTAACGTTTTCAGGGGCCTGACCTCGTTCTCCAACCGAGCACTTGGTTTTAATAGCTAAATGAAATGCTTTACGCGCGATGCCTACCTCGTTCTCCGGGTGTTCCTATCTCGTTTTGCAACCTCAACATGGCGTTTCTAACAAACCAGGGTACGCCCCAAGACTACTTTTCAGTTCACTTCACCAAATAAAAGGCGTCACTCAATGACATAAATTCCCATATTGTAAATCTGGGCCCAACATATTAAATTATATGTTTGAATGTCCTTCTCTATATTTGCAAGGTTTCCAAAAATTATGTTTAGCATAGTTTAACTATGATCCTCCAGGTCTGGGTATTTTTCTCCCATGGACAATTTTGACCAAATTTACAATGAACAAATGCACAATATCTATATCCATACCTATATATAATATATAATATATATAATATATATAATATATATAATATATATAATATATATAATATATATAATATATATAATATATATAATATATATAATATATATAATATATATATATTTATTATATATATATATTATATATATTATATATATATATTATATATTATATATATATTATATATTATATATATATATTATATATTATACATTTATTATTATTGTATATAGCCACAGATGTAATTATATCTTCTTGCTTCTATGTTTGTGCCACTGCATCGTGCATTGAGAATGTGATGCAGGATTGCTCTCACTCTGTACAGCCGCGAGTGCAAAGCTGGAGGCAAAAAGACTCTTCGAGCCGCAACAGCAAAACATGTCCTCCGTTGCCGTCCAAACCAACAGCAATTTCTCATGGTGAGGTTCACCTGCAGTGACACTTCAAAGGTGTCCAAAGTATAACGATTTCGGAATTTAGCAACATGGAATTCAGGAAATCTGGAGTGAGATACCAGGTTGGAATCCCGCGCAAATCATGAACACCTACTTAGCAAGCCAAACATATGGACAGGTCTAGACTGCTCAATATTTTTCACATGCAATGCACAAGGAACCCGCAAGATCCTGCCTTTGCAACTCCTGCAGCCGCTTCATCAAGGGGTCCTGATGTAAATTCACTTCTTCAATCTCGTGTTGCTCGTGTTGCTTCCGGAAATGATCTGATTCCAAGCTTTGCATGCGAAAATCTTGCAGGATATCAAGCCTTACATTTCTTGCTAATTGCTTAGTTACATCAATGATAGCATCAATAGCAAGGGTCAGGATGGTAAGTTGTTGTGTTACCAACCATTTAGTAACCATATCCATCCATCCACCCAATTCTTAACCATTCAATATCATTCAATCTTGCATGACTTCGAGCGTTGCTCAAGTGGTCATGGAGTCATGGAGGACTTACACGTCGCCTCAGTGGTCTCCGGCACTGGAGTGGCGACTGGAGCTGCAGCAGCAGCTCCTGACAGGTGCTGATGCTTGGACGTCTGGCCAAAACTATTCAAAATATGATGGCATTTCTCTCATTCATAAAGGATCATATATGATCATATATGATATATAATTGTGTAATTCCTTTATTATCTGCAAACGGCCATTCTTCCCGAATTAAAAAAAACTTTCGCGAATCTTGTGCAAACCCCACGTTTATCTTTATTTCGCGAGGGTCTCATGTTAAAATCTTTCGCTAAATCGTTCACCCCTCGTCAAAAACAAACGTTCGCGAACTCAGAAAACAACTTTTGCGGGTCTCATGTTGGAACCCTGGCGCCCTTTGTAATGGACAATCTCTGCATGGACCTTCAGATCGACAATCATATGATGTAAATATGATTCTGATATAAATATTCTACTAATAAATGTAATTAGATATGAGTATATTATATGTGTATATATAACTATGACATATAGCTATATACCAGCACCGCCAAAGGGGCCCCACTGTGTTTTTGGAAGTTGATATCTTTAAGGGGTCCCACTACGGGAACCCTTATTCCCGAGGTCATACCAACTGTTAAAAACATATGTGCTGGATATAGTAAGATATATTTGTAGGTGTTCTTTGGTAATCTTATCAAATAACCCCATTCCATCAATCACCAGTTCACACCTGGCTGCGCTGCGGCGGCATCGGCTGGACCAGCTCAACATTTTGGAAAGAAGCTCAGAAGGTGCCAACGGGAGTCGTTGGAAATGCAGTCGCCGAAAACTCACAGTACACAAAATGACAGCATAAAAAAATACATAGTGACATCTTTTGATATTTAGAGTATATACTCTAGCTTATTCTGTGAGTCTTCGAAGCCATCGCACGCATGTATATGCAGCGTAGCGTGACAGAACTTGTCGTCCCATCTGGTTGGGATATGAAATCATCGCTAATTTCTTCAGTTTTCCCATCGCGTCCTCATCTGTATAGCAGCTTAGTTTCAGTGGAGAAACTTCTGGAGCACAGTCGTAGACGATATGGTCTAACCTCACATGGTGCTGTTTCCTTTCTGTTTTGCTCGATATCTTCAAGTGCTTGCTTCTTTTCTTTTCAAACTTTTTGAAAGCCTCTGTCGGAACAGTTTGAGCTTTGAGTGCCCTCATCTTCTCAGCGCTCACCTGCCCAGGTAAAGTAGCCGACATAGCCCCCCAGCCAAGTATTACATCAGTGTTCGTTGTGATATAAATAGTGGAGCATGTGCATATGCTCACATGAAAATGAAACATCAGGGATAGTCAGCCATATATATATAATATATATAAACAAATGCTACTTCCAGAGTTTTCCCTACTCAATAGGGTTAGCCAGCCTCAAACTCTTTTCCATCCGGCATGGCTGGAACTAGATCGACTAGGTTGTTCCCGAAAAAACCCGCTGGAGCCACAGAATAGATCGATCGTTTTTTTTGACCAAACCACCAAAAATGAGATTTCACGACACGAAATGACACGCCCCCTGAACTTGGTGGGCACCCCCGACACTTTTTAAGGGGTCCCACTACGGCACCCCTTAGCCTAAGGGGTCCCACTGTGGGACCCCCAAGGAACCACCCGAGACACGCCACTGACACGTTTGACACGCGCCTTTTTTGGGATTTGGATAGATTTGGAATTTTCTCAGATTTCTAGCCCAAAACATTTACCAGATTACGTTTGGGATTTTACCGTAACTTGCCCAACGAGCTTGCAGGCTCATGGTTTGAAATGGAGATGAACCCTTTTTGCTCGGTAAAAATATCATTTTCCAAAAGATTATGCCCAGCTGTTGTCATTCCCCAAAATGCATTGTCCCATACCATAACCTTATTGTTGGCAGACTTTCCAAAACCTTATTGTTGGCAGGGGATGATGTTGAAACATGTGCTCACCAGGAAATAAAAGTAAACAATTTCGTATCAACTCAGTTGAAGACGAAGCCCTTTCTTGTTGACAACAATGTGTAGGGCTTGTCTCATAGAGTTCTCACGTAGAACTTTCTTGAGGGAGCTGTCATGGAATGCTGCTCGCAGCCACTGATTGGCACTAACGCGGATGTCTCCGCCAGGCCCAAACTCACCAGATCGTCGGATCCATTCAATACATTTATCATCGATGCGGGCCATCAACGCTTTTGCCATGATCCTTATTCACAGTCATGGTTTTTAAAAATGAATGTTGATGTTTTTTTCCCGATGAAACCCTCCAAATATGTTGTTGGACAAGGCTCTTCGCCTCATCATTGAAATCCTTGCTGCCACTCTTGCGCTTCGGCATGGCAGATGTCCAACGACAGAATTTCCTTCTAATGATGCTTAACATTGTGTTGGGGTACCTTGCACCTCTAGTAACTCTATTACCTATCTGTTTTAACTTGGGCCATTCAGTGCCAACCATTCCATAGCTTTGAAGGTGTTGTACCTGATGCCCATGCCTTTGGTCGATCATTCCTACATGAGCCGGTGGCCAGGCTGCAGTGTGGCCATTGCGGGTGAACCTGGGCCCTCAGCGATCAAAAATTGAGATGCATGGTCAAGAACCCTCCAAACTACCTCTAAACCACCTAAAAAAATAAGGGGTCCCACTGTGTTTTTTGGCTAAGGGGTCCCACTACGGCACCCGTTTGGTACCCCTCGTATATATATATATATATTATATAATTAAATATACAATTATATATAAATTATATATTTATATATATATATATATATATGTATGTATGGTGATACAAAATGATACAAATATATTTAGACATTTTAGACTGAGGGAGCACTACCAAGGAAAGCTTAAAGCACACAACAATTGTATGAATGAACCAAAGATAGATGCCATGATTCATGATTGAAGAAAGCAATTGGACATTAACAAGGGACAAAACATGTCTGGGTCGAACCACGAAGTAATTAAGCAAACAGCATCAATAACTGACACCACAGAGCCTCCAAAGTCAATGTCAATACCAAAACAGCGTGAGGTTAAAACAACAAATAATACTCGTGACCCCTAAAGTAGGGAAAATATATCATGAGCGTGTTGAAGTGTGCTGGAGCACGAGAAACGAAACAATCAATCCTCAAAGTGGATGCTCGATTGCCACTGAAACATACTGAAACAAGACAGTAAAACCGTCAGCTTCTCAGTGCTTGCGAGGACTTTGGCGAGTCCGACCGGCGAGTCCTGTATCCAGCAGTTGTGACTTGTCGAGGGCGAGCTCCTGGATCGCAGACTCGAGGAAAAAGCTCCGTCACATCTTTCTGCCTATCCCTCCATAGTATGCAAGTCGGCGGTTGATCCAAATTCCTTTATCTGCAAACGGCCATTCTTCCCGAATAAAAAAATACTTTCGTGAATCTTTTGCCAACCCCACGTTTATCTTTCGCGGGGGTCTCATGTTAAAATCTTTCGTTATCTTTCGCTAAATCTTTCACCACCCAAAAAAAAATAAAAAATGTTCGCAAACTCAGAGAAACACTTTCGCAGGATCTCATGTTGGAACCCTGGCGCCCTTTGTAATGGACAATCTCTACTCTACATGGACCTATCGACAAGCAAGTGTTGAAAAGCATATTATGTGGCGAAAAAATGCAAAAAGGTCTTTCCTACTAAAAAACGAAAGTATCGGCAAAGCATCACTATATATAGTCTCTAGCGGACTCTAAGTATGTCTATGTATCTAGAAATGAGCAACTCTGTGGTCTTGGAGATATGGGCCTCTTTGCGAATCCTGAACTAGAATCTAACGTCTGATCTGGCTGAGGAATGTCTTTTGTGAATTGCATTTTCGATAGCATACCTAGACCTAGAGCTACTCTAGCTTCGACCAATTGAAACATGTTCAAAACAACGATTGACAATCGGAAGTGCACTTCCTCGTAGACTTTGGCAACCGCAGAATCGATTTCGGTCTCATCATCGGATTCCTGAAAACCTGTCCAAAACACCGGCAACAATGAAGACAACATCTCATCACAGAGCTGGACATAGCTTCAATAAGGTCATCTCAACCCACACCGACATAAGAATCTACAAATCCGATCAAATCTGCACCGTTTCTTTCTGGAAGTGTGCGAAGCGGAATGAGAGGCGGGTCAACGTGACAACTAAGACTGTGTCTAAAATGACAACCATCGATCATGAAATTTCATTTGCGTGGCATGGTTGCAATCCTTTTCCACAACGTGTTCACTGATGTTGCGCATATTTTGAAGTATTTTTGCACTGAACTAAGTGCAAACCAACTCATTTTTTTCCTTCAACCATCCCGTTTTGTGGAGTAAACTTTTTAGATTTTTTAATTAGTATCTATTCCATTCTATTCCTCTCAAAACTGCGGCATTTTTGTGGTCTTTTTCCAGGTCGGTTCGTACTCGGCCAAAGAAACAAAATGCGGGCTGGTGCCGTACTCACTGGTACCTTGTGTCTTTCTTCAGTTTATGTCTGGTTTAGTTGTCCTTTTGTGCGGTTTCTGCTCATTCTTCGTATGGTTGGAGCTCTATTGTGCCAGTTTGTGAATTCGTTGCAAACATGTCGATTCGATTGACTTTGTTCCATGCACTGTTCCGCGCCTTGAGGGCTTCAAAAGAATTGGGTGGGAGTTGTTTGTTTCGTTATTTTAGAGCTGATCGTTTTTGGCCTAATCTGCTGTTTGCGGCGACTTTGCAGGCTCCAAATGGCTCTAAACCGTTGTTTTGGGATCAAATTGGTCCTAAGTAGGGTTCCAAACGCAGTTTCGTTATTGGCGTGGAGTGTCAAAGGAAAAGACACACGTTTTAGGGTTATTATGGGAGTGGCACAACGAAAACCTACTCAGTCATGGACAGGACATGACAGGACAACAAACCCAGCAGCGTGGGTGGATCCAAAATGCCGAGCATGGTGACTAGTTATTGACAATCATCCATGCCAAATCCAAGTATCACTATATTCACTATGTATCATGTATATTTGTTTCCCATCGTTTCCCAGATCTTGCCTTCTTCCATCATCTCATCTGCAATTTCAGCGCGCATCATCTCTTGTCGCATCTCCTTCCGATGCCGGTTTCCGCAGCCAAGGACTGAAAATAGACTGGGGGTGAAGAATTGTCTTAGGATTTTTTTAGATCAGGTTTATTTTTTATTTCTTTCTTGATACCATTTGCCTTGTATTTGCAATATACTAGAACCTGTCATGTTGCATGGTGTTTCCCACATTTTGGCATGTTCACCTTCCACTTTGCACAGTATTTGCTACATTTTGGCATGTTAACCTTCAATTTTGCAAGGTATTTGCTATACTTTCGGCACTTCAACCCATCATTTTGCTGTGTATTTGCTACATGTTGGTTTTCGGGTTTCATTTAGGGTTTCATTAAGTTTAGGGTTTCTTTAGGGATTCATTTAGGGTTTCTTTAGGGTTTCCCTTAAGGTATCTCTAGGGTATCTTTATAGGGTTTCATTTAGGATTTCTTTAGGGTTCAATTCAAAGGTTTCTTTAGGGTTTCATTTAATGTTTCTGTAGGGTTTCATTTAGGGTTTCTTTAGGGTCTCATTTTGGGTTTCTTTAGGGTTTCATTTAAGGTATCTCTTGGGTATCTTTAGGGTTTATTTAGGGTTTCTTTCGAGTTTCATTTAGAATTTCATAAGATTTCTTTAGGGTTTCATTTAAAGGTTTCTATAGGGTTTCATTTAGGGTATCTAAGGGTTTCTTTAGGGTTTCGTTTAGGGCTTCTTTAGGGTTTCTTCAAGGTTTCTTTATTGTTTCTTTAAAGTTTCTCAGCGTTTCATTTAAGGGTTTCTTCTTAGGATTTCTTTAGGCTGTCTTTGGGTTTCATTAGGTTTTCATTTAGGATACAGTGCAAACAGGGCAGAATAAAGCAAAAGAAGAAGAAAAGCAAAGAGACAGGAAAGAAGGGAAGCAGAGAAGCAGAGGAGCAGGAAGTAGAGCAGCAAAAACGCATGACTGCAGAAAAAGAACTAGAAGTAGAAAGGCGCACAAGTATAGAAGCAGGAAAGGCAGGAAAAGCAACGAAGCAGAAAAGCAGGAATCCAAAAAAATATCCTAAACCTGATCAAAAATAACAAACATAAATAGTCCTCTATAGACTACTCTCCCCCTGCTGACAAACATCATGAAACCCCTCGGAAAGACTTCAACAACCTGCTGTTCTTCTGCTCCAAATCTTATGACATCCTTATATAATTATACTTGCCCATGCAATGAAGCTCCTCCATCGTTCTCTGAAGCTCTGGAACATTCATGAGCCTTGTGCAAAGCGCGCGCAATTCAAATAACACTGCTATCTTATCCTTCCATATCCCTGGTTTTGTTTGTTTGGTTGGCAAGAAAGCCAGGATAAAAGTTAGCAAAGCAACTCACGCCAGAACCCCAGTGCCATAGTTCAAACGGACTGTGCCTGTTCATCTCCTTCATGACGCCAGAGGACATTTTCAGTGCACTTGCAGTTGACATTGATGCCACTGCCTTAAAGTAGGGTTGTCCAGTGTTTTTATTGTTTTAATGAATCTGTTCCATTGAGCTGCTTCAAGATGCTTCAAATGCACTCCCAAGGGCGCCACAGTTGTTAGGTGCAAATTTACTGCTGACATGGAACATTTGGTCCTGGCGAAGCAACCGACCCCATTTGAGAAGTGCCATTCACAAGGACACCCAAGGACTATGCAAAACTTGTTGCCAAACTTGTTCAGTCCAGTTACTGTAAGGACCTAAGCCCAGACTGGCACATATTGTTTCATATTGTTGGATCTGAAATCATAATCTTTGCGCGCAGCAAGAAGATGTCCCTGCTTGCAATATCTTTAGAACACCTCTTTGGAATCCTTTGGAACACCTCTTTGGAATCCTTTGGAATCTTCAAAATACGAATATTTGATGCCTTTGGAGTCTCGCGGTGAAAAATCCTGATTTTTTGTGCCTGGAGGTTCAAGGCGAGCTCGGAACAACACACCACACACAAAACCTGATGTTACCGGATGATCTGATGGGTTTTCAACTTGACCAACCAAGTTAAATCGACAAGGAGAATGTAAGGCATGGTGGAGATATGACAACCAAATCCAAAACTTTATCCACAAAAAAATATTGCAGAGGGTCTAGCCATCTCCTAGGGTGCTAAAGTTTTTAGAGGAAACAAAACACAACTAATAAACCAGCGGTATTTTCCAGGTTCGGCAAATCCTTGCGCGGAATCAAACGAGTCAAGGTGTTTTAAAAACATTGCGTGGACGTTCGTCTTTGGAAAGGAAAGCACCAATAATCACTATACTGGGAGTGCCTGGATTCCCGTTCAATGGCGAATTTTTATTAATTTTTCATGTGAAGTGTGACAACATGTGACAACCTTGCAATGGCACAGGGATGCACAGGAAAATTAAGAACTGAAGCGGCTGAGGTTGAAGCGAGTTGAAGAAAAAACATGTTCTGCACTAGAACAGAATCCGTGAAAATCAGGTCTTCGGTGAAACCTGCTATTTGCGGCAAAAGAAAATGCAAAGCATTGATGCAGTATTGTAGTCACCTTAACATCTGTGAAGTTCATGATGAAATGAATCATGGTGAAGTACAGTAGATTTGAAGTACAGTAGAAGTACAGTAGAATTATCACATCTAAGTTACCTTGAGGGTCTCTAAGGTAGTTTAAGCATGTTTAAGCAAGCATCATCGGGTTCAAGTCTAGGTCAAATGCTGGGGACACAGTTTCATCGTGGCTTTGTAGTAAGACAAACAAAACAACTTCCAGCGGCTAGCATGTAATTTTGTGAATGTCTTCCAACTGGAGGCAAAAGGTGAACATGTCTTGTACAATTACTCTGTTAGACAATGCAGTCCTGAACAAGTATGAGTGGATACACACAAACAAAGACACACACACACGGACAACACACACATGAATAATAACAACTCAATAGTCCCATCTCATCTCCTCTCCAGTCGAGCGACAGCTTTTCGTGATCGTACTACTTGCCTTGCAAGCGTCTTGACCTTCGGTGGGAGAGACTCACATATCCAGAAACCCCAGCAAGATATTCACAAAACGTACAGATTTAGTCAAGGGCATAAGTAACTGGAGTGTAATCCTAAAAAAACCTAAAATCAGTCAAGTACATAGACGGCCCAGTGTCGCGATGTGTCGCAATTCTTGAAACTGAGATACGCACACTTGCGGCCTGGCCCTTCTCGGCCATAGTTTTGATCTCTTTCTTCAGTTTCTCCTCTTCTTGACCTTCAGAGTTTTGTTACAATTTCGTACAAATTCAACAAACAACTAAAACATACTAAAACCACTGTGCTGTACGATCAAGGTCTCTAAGTCATCCAAGTGTCCGTCTTACAACCCCAGCTGTCAGGAGCGTGGCTCGACAAACATATCGAGTCATGTCGACAGCAGATTTGTTGCTCCAGGATGCTTTGGTGATCTCTGGGGACTTGATCTTGGATGATCTTGGACAAGGGGCGCATTCGAGACACATCACGGTCAATTCTCCGCGATTCGCCACGAATTTGTCGCTGCCACTCTCTGGCCTCACTGAAGCCGGAGCGAAGAAAACGCACACAGTGACACAATCATTCTATATCAGTCTATCAATCTTGTATACATTTCTATATTGTTCTATATCATTCTATCAATTTCTATACATTTCAAATCATTTCTATACAGTTCTGTGTCATTCTATCTCACTCTATCCATTCTATATCATTCTATATCATTCGATGTCATTCATTGTCATTCATAGTCATTCTATATCATCCTATAATAGCCTATAATTCTATATCATTCTACTGTATATTAATTATTCAATTCTACATCATTCTATATCATCTCAGTCTCTATCAAGTTCTGTCATGCATCAGACCATCTCTATCATTTCCTATCTATTGATGATAACGTTTGGTTAAAAAGGCGCATATTACATAGAGAGAGGGGGATAGGATATAGCTAACAAAACAGCATATAAGCATGCATCGCATAACATGACACTACGTAAATTCATTGCACTACAAGACCCTACACTGCACTACATATTACACTGCATTGTATTACATCACGCCGGATTCCCTCAAATCACGTGATATTACATGTACATACATGTACCCTTAAAATGTCCTCATCGACTTAGGTCAACATCGAATCTGATCTTATCTGTAGTTCGCAACTTTTCAAATGAAACTATCATTCTATTACACGTTACTTGCCCTTTAAACAGTCAGTTCAAACTACGCACAACCAAGTTGTAGTACGGATATGTAATTATAATGCGACATCCACTGCTCAGGCAAGACTTGAATCACAGCACCTTCTCTTTCACGGTTTCCTCCTTGGATTTGCCGTTTCCCATGTTGCCTAGGCTCAAATCAAACCATGCAGAACAACTGAACACGGGCGAAGGAATTGAAGAACTGAGACTCGTGCAAGCTCAGAAACGGCAAATGCACCGTGACAAAAGTTGCCTAATTACTCTATTGAGTTTCTTAAAAACAACTATGGTAGTGACTGAAATTACTGTGCAATCAAACAGGCTCAGGGCATTTTGTGTTCCCAAAGCGGAAGATGAGCTGCTAAAGTTGTGGGAACATGCTGACTTGAGCTGGTCAAGAGCAATCAACTGCTCTTCAACCTGTGGATTTTTGACTGAGCGGACCAAGTGCGGAAAGCACAAGCTGGCAAGCCCTCTTCAAAAGGCTGTGAGGAAAGGTACAAAAATCAATCTTGAAACATAATAGGGCTAAGACGCACAGATTCCAGCAAATAACAAATAGGAACACTGCTTCTTAGTAGATTAACACATCCTGCCACAAACTGCATAGATCTGCAAATATCAAACATTATCTAATATTATGCATCATTATGCATGATATTCTGCCCCGTTCACCATCAATGAGACCATGTGAACCCGCAAAAAATGAGCAGAATGGCTCAAGCCATCAGACATCACCCAACTCAGAAAATGCATTCGGAGCGGATTGTGCACTTTTCCTCCAAGGCATCCCCCTTGTTGGGGAAACACACCATCTACCGGAAATTCTGCTTTGTTGCGGCTTCAGGAGCCTCAAGATATGACAAGCGTTTCGCAGCTCCAAACGGAATTGCTGTTTATATTCGGTTGGAATCTGCTGGATATTGCCCAAGTTCTGGCACGAAGGCTTTGCATGGCTTTGCTATGATGTGCATCTTGTCCCATCTTGTCGCTGACTTAGAAACAACATGTTGCGATAGAAACAACAATGGTGGTCTGCAATGGTCCGAATCTATCGCTTCCAGCCTCGAAGCAAATCACCCTGCTTCAAACTGCCCCTGTGCAAGCAGCCAGACTTCTGCAAATAAGGGATCAATCTGGAATAGTGATGAATAGTGTGGAACTATTGGTTAGTGATGTTTAGTGTTCGACACCGTGCAAGCAAATGGGCCTGTCGTGGTCAAACAGGTTGTTTATGGTGACCTAAACCTCGAACATCTTGGGCCCTTTGAGAGGAAGCCTCTATTTCATGGCCACCAGCCAAAGTATCCAAAGTCTTATCCACGACCAAAGAATTTGATAAATTTTGGGTTCAGGCTCAATGAATCTCAATAATGATGTTGTTCCTCGAAGCAGGACTATGTAAACCAGCTCTTTCAATAGTGCAATGGGACGAACCTGGAAAGACAGAATGTCAGTGACCGTACAGTATGTTTTGTACTGACTCAACTTTGCCTCCTTGCACAGTTTGGGACCTTGGTTTTTCTCCACAAGCAGACCGTGGACGCATCTATTCTATCAAGGCGAACTGAGAGTCTCGGCCAGTCAACTGATGACATGTTCAGCCAAGTTTCGCCACACCCAGCTTGATCCACATGCTCTGAGAGATTTTTGAGAGTGTGGTTTGTGGGTAGATGCTGAATAGCTCGCAGTTCCTGCGATACTTCAACCCCAACGCGAGCTGAGTTGGCAGCTGCAAGATGCTACATGCAACCAGCAAGTTGCTGCCTGCATTATCCATTCATTATCCTGCATTCGTTGATGAGGACCTGAGGATAAGCCCTCTGTTTCCGGGCACTGAAAAACTCTCAGTTCCTGCGACGCTTCAGATTTTCCCGAAACACTTCCCAGTCTTCCTATGTAAGGTCGCCCTGCTCCTAAGATTTCTGAAAAGACGGGAACCACTTCTTGATACATCTTGCAAAGGTGGTCTAGATGGAGTCGAAATATGCCAAAATAGTTAATCTGGCTGATTCGTCTCAGTTCATTTCGATTCACTTCTATCCATTTCTACCTTGAGAACAATTATTGCCAGTTGATTCTATGCAGGAACTGCATCAAGAAGGGCTTCAAAGATCTTCAAATCGGCCTCGAGAGCCATCTGAAGCCGCGAATTGCCATGAATCAATACCACAAATATGAATCATCATAATCATCATGAATAATCTAAAAATCAGCCGTGGAACTTCTCATCAATGCTCCCCCGACTTGGTTGTTTGCACCAATCCAGCCCTGGCGATTGCCCTCTGTGTAATCTGAGTCGCTCATGTCAATAAAGGTCTTTCGGACAACCAAACTGCCCAGAGCTCCCATGTCACAAGAGCTTCGCACAAAGCAACTGCTCTTGGGCCGTGGATCTGCATGTTGAAAACGTGCCTGTTGTGCTTCACCAACACGGGGAGCACTGACTCCTCCATTCATTCGTCTGTATGCTCTCTGTTGCTTGTGAAAAGCTGCAATCACCTGGTCTTTGCAGGACTCCCATGCATGGGTGACAACAGCTACTTGGTATGGAACGAGCTTTTTGCCACTAAGCTCAGTGAAAACCTTCAGCTCAATGCCACAACGCTGCAAAAGTTGGCGAAGGTAAGCTTCAAATGTGAACGTGCGATCTGCCCATCTAATCCAGTACGAGTCAGCACCGTCTTCAGCAGCGATTGCAACTACATTGCTTGAATCTGCCGCATCCAATGGTCCATCATCGCTTGCAAAGGGAAGGAGGGGCACACCCCGGTTGCAACCTCTCAAATGCAGAACAGTGTAGTAGGTGCTATCAATCTCACAAAGTCTCTGCAAATCATGTGCTTTCAAATACCTCATGAAATTTGTTTGCTCCACTTTCGCCAGCCTTGAGAAATGCTGGGTTGCCCAAGTCGGATAGGCTGAGAAAGGAAGGAACATCACGTGAGCTACAATGACTTTACCTGGTTCCTCGTGGGGCTGTACTGTCAATGTGTATGCCTTCACAGCCCCAACCTGAAACACTACTGTGTGTCGGCGGCCGATGGGCAAGACTACCATGGCAGCCATTCCAAGTTCAGGTACATCTCTGCGCACAATCATCCGAGCCCAATAGCTGTTCCACTCACTCTCTTCCTTGTCTTCCAACTTGTCCACTGATTGGCTCACCGATGGACTTTCTAAGATCTGCCTCATCGCGTAGCCACGGAGGGATTCTGCATTCTTCTCATCATCAACCAACTCCACCACCGCATCACCAGGGTTGATCTGGTGCTTGTACTCGGTGTGAAGCAGGCCGGTGATCTCCGACATGCTGCGGCTTGAAACTTCTGGGCGGATCATCAAAGAGTTCGCAGGTAGGGGAGTTGAAACCACGAATTTCAACCTGGTCATGCAAGAGCCACATCCAGAAAATCTGTAGCAAATGCGACCATCGTGTTCTACGGCATCCTTGTCGAACTTCTCCTGTACATTGGTCCAGCCATCTTCATTAGTGGCCTCGTAGATATGAACGAAAAAGTCTTCAACATCCAGGCTAGGTGTCAAATCATCAATTGGCGTTTGGGGGGGTGGCATCTTTACATCCGCTGGAGCTTGAGCCTGATGCCAAACGATCCAAATGAATCCTGATGCGAATGAGATCGGTGCAAACACCTCAACACCTCAATTATATGATTGTTTGATATTGATTGTTTCTTTGATTTTTGGCATGTGACAGCGAGCTCATCTTATTTCGAATCAACACCTCTTGCTGTACCATCTACTTTGGACGAAAAACTTCAAGCTGTTTAAAAGGAACACAAGGTCACAGTGGCGAAGCATTATTGAACATGACGGAATATGATCCATGCAGCTGATATCATCTGGTCAAAAGCTGTCCTCGGCGAAGAGCTTTTCGTCGAAGAATCGAGCTCGCACAGTTCTTCCACCAAAGTATCTACCGTTCAAATCTGCGAAAGCCTGAAGACAAACCGACTGAAGACATGACTTCTGTGCAAGTACTGCACTTGGGGTACCCATCGGTCGCAACCACAACGTCCAAAGAAACCTGTAGATACAAGTATGCAAGAAGATCCAACAAGAAAGCAATGTGATAGCTTCAGGGAAACTACCGCCTGGGTTCTCAAGTATTGCTAGAGCGGCTTCAAAGATGTTAAGTCCATTGAACCTAGGTCTGATGGGCAACTAATCTAAATGGATATAAATCGAACATTGAATGGGTATGAAAGGTAGTATATACGCCTCCGTTGACATTAATATGTTGTGTATATGTATGTGTATACCATATACACATGCATATACACAACATATTATATAATGTCGACGGAGGAGTTGTATCGTGCAGCTTGAGAAAACGACACTTGTCAACATGCTTGACTTCAGCTGTGTCTGCTCATGTTTTTGCAAGATTGGTTGCTCAGCATATCTTTACACAGCTGGTTCGTGTTCATCTCTCACTATATAAATAATCCTTAAAGACATCCCTTGAAGGATCATAGCACGATTCGGCAGCAATTTCACACCTACAAAATGCTGCAGGGGTTTTGTCTGCCCTCCAGCCTTTGTTGCACTTGCAACATCCTCATACTCCAAGAAGATTCGAACAGCCTTTGGGGATCCGTAGATCTATGCAGTCTGAAGGCATGCCTTCCCAATGGCAAAACCCTATTTGCATCTATTTTCATCCTCTGACTCTTACTGACCGTTACTCTATATAACTTATAAATACTTATAACATACTCTAACGATTAACCACACCTCGTCATCCGGTCTACCAGACAACTCCTTGATCACGCACCTGAGGATTCAAAGCCGCGTCTGTCAACAAAATTTGAGCAAAGTCTTTCCAAATTCTTAGATTCTAGTGATTTCTAGTGCAAAGCGTGACATTGTCGCTTCTGAAGGAAACAAATGTACGAGGACGGCGCTTTTTTAGCTTGCCATACTTGCTCGCCTCCTCTGCTGTCTCTTCTTCCAGGTCCTGTGTAGTATTGGACTCCCGGAAGGTGGAAACTCAAGACGAGAGGCTGCGTAAAGAGGTTGCATCATTTTTCAGGGCCTGACTACATCAAGTGTTTCAACTTTAAAAATACACCCAATGGCTATGAAAGCGCCGTCGTAGTCAACCCATCTATAGCTTTTACTGCAGGGCGTCATTAAATGCACCAGAGTGGTAAAGGAGGTAACTGCAACTTTTACTGATCTCGGGTCCTCGTCAACATCGCCAGCACCAACCATATTGTTCAACAACAGCACCCGCGTTGGGGGCCTCGAGTCTTCCCAAATCATGTAGAATGGACGATGTCAACAAATATCAACAAATGCAATAGAGGAATATACCATAACAATCCATAACAAACAACAGATATCAATATCATATATATATGGATACAACGGGCATATACTGGCACTGGCCAAACATTCCCAAACAAAAAACTAACTGCGCCCGGACAGAGTTGGAGCTGCTTTGGCCTCGGATGGAACAGGCCAGGCGGCCATGCCATGTCACACATTGGATTCACTGGATGCGTGTTGAGTTGAAGTCTGGATAGATCTGATATGACCTGATGATAATACCTGATAAATGCTTGAACTAATACAAAAGAAAAGGAAATACAACAAGATAATAAGATGACTTGAGTATACAGTATACCTGAGTGTACTAGAGTCAACATATGTCAACATCAAGGCAGCTTCTGCGCTCCAAAGAATCGGATCTTGATCTCGCCTGTTTTTGATCGGGCTGACCAGCAGGCGGCGACGATGCCTCAAGGTGACTCAAGGTGTAGACACTGACCAGCAATGGCATGCCATATGTTGCCATGGGTTGCCATGGGTTGCCGTGGTGCTCATGGTGTTCATGGTGGCCATGGCTGAGGGTGGAGCCTCGCGTTTCGAAGTCCCTTCTACAATGCGACCAGTCTTTTGGTCCGTCTTCTGCATGACCTGAAAGTATCATTGCCAAAGGCCTTCCCCACAGAATTAAATAGCAAATCGGCTTAAATGTTTTTGGAGAATATGAATGGGTTGATTGTTCTGACCTAGTTAGTATACAAACGGGTTCCACGAATGCCAGGTCCATGTTTCCCCCCATCGGTGATAGACATTGATGATATTATAGATGCAGTCATTGAGCCCCGCGCCAAAGGATTTGCCATACCCTGACCTTCCTTTCCGAGACCTCCTCCTTCTTTCCAACCTTAAATGCACTGGAAGTTGGTGTGGCGGCAGTCAGCATGTTGATTTGCTGGCCTTGGCCTACTGCTGCGTTTGGATTTAAAGAAAATAAGAACAGGACAATCAGGGACAGTGAGGATGACCATGACTATGACATACCATGACCATGACCATGACAACAACCACGACCACGACGATGACGATGACAATAAGGATGAAGATGAGGATGATAATGAGGATGATAATGAGGATGATAATGAGGATGATAATGAGGATGAGGAGGATGAGGAGGATGAGGAGGATGAGGATGAGGAGGATGAGGAGGATGAGGATGATGAGGATGATGAGGATGAGGAGGAGGATGAGGATGAGGATGAGGATGAGGAGGATGAGGATGAGGATGAGGATGAGGATGATGATGATGATGATGATGATGGTGATGATGATGATGATGATGATGATGATGTGGGTCAAGCTGGCGGAAGAAGTTGTCCTAATATATAATCCAGGCTGATAACGCAGGACAACCAAAATAATCAACGTGTTGGCAAGTGTGAAGCCCAAAACTCTAAGTCTATGGACCCATTTTCTTCATCATCTTTGTAGCAAAGTCATCCTGAAACTGCCAGAAATAGGCAGCACTTCAAACTCAAATTGCCTTTTTGAGTCTGGTGAGGCCTCTTTGGGGGCAGCTGGCTTGTTTGCTTGTTGCTGTCGAGCAAGAGCATCCTGAAACGCAGACATGCATAGACAGCTGAATTGCGCAAGTCCGAGAACACACTGGAGGATGAAGATTGGTGACAGAAAGTGGTAGCAGAATATTAATTTAGGATTAAACTACTTAAAACATCTTAAGGACATGTGGGGCGCAATTGGCGTAAACTGTATAGTATGCATCAGCTCAATGCTTCAAGGCTGATCTCCTGACGTCTCTTCTCCATTTCCTCTTCCGCCTTCTGTCTCATCCTGGGCATCTCAAAGTATCGAGTCAATGATTCAGGGCATTAATTTAGCACACAATATTCCAGCAAGACATTAAGTTTCTTTGAAGGCAACGTGTTGCCTGCGGCGGCAGAACTCATCGTAGTCATTGGGCTTAGCAGGGTCGTACTCCTGCAGCATTGCACATTGCAGCATTAGCATGCACAACAGTGCCCTACAGTATCCCTACAGTAGTTCCATATATATGCATATATATGCATATTATGTCATGCGACTTTTTTGCAAACCATGCTTTTTTCATGAATTTTGCACTGCAACTGCCTCATTGGGATCACCAAACAAGTTGGCGGCCTCAGTGAACTCAAGGCCATCACAAGTCAAGTCGAATGTCATGGCCCGTCTGAGCAATGCACGATCGGCTCGCTCATGGTTGTCGGTGCCTGGCCGACATCAGGACATCAGGCGATATGATGCATTGGTATGGGATTGCATAAAACACAATGATTCACAAATTAATTAACAATAATAGTAGCTTAATATAGCACATGTACTAGCTGAAACAGTGCAACATAGTGCAACCATGTGCACCCCAAGCCTGTTGATTTTGAGTCTTGGGAGTTGCACCAGAGCAGAGCAGAGTTTGATCTTCACAACTCATCGCTCATAGTGCAAACATGTGCCAAAAAAAATGTGCCAAAAAAAGTCAAACATGTCAAAATATGTCAAAATATGTCAAACATGCAAGAGGAACTGATGCTCCATCCGCGTCAGCAGCCCGTGCCTCACGAATTCTTTAAGTGCGTGTGGACATCATTAATGTCATCGAACATCTAAATCCTCCTACCCCGGGAAGTGATGGATGCAACGAGATGTCATAAGATGTGTGCTGATCCACAAAAGACAACATGATGGATGTTCCACAAATTAGGAAGACTGCAAGGACCTTCTAAGGATTCTGCGTTGATCCTGGAAATTCTGGCATATATGGAGAAAGTATGAGAATGTCAGGACATGTCAGGACCATAATTGCCATATAGTGCCATTAACGCACGCAACGTGCAGAGCAGTACTGGATCATGCTGTGCCAGGTTTGAGCTGCCAACTGAACTTGACACAGAGCTTGATGCCGTTGCCTGCGACCGCTCGAAAAAGACAAAGCAATGAAAACACATCGAGACATGAAAAATCATGAAAATAATTGAAAACACCTGGTTTAGTGCTGCTACTTCATGTTCTGACCTACTGAGACCAACTGCAGCTCCTGTAGGCTGTATGCCCCGCATGGTGTGAGTTTGCGATGTTTGCGTCTATCACACTGCGTCCCACCCTGCTGGTCTCAGCTGCTGCTCTCTGTTTCATTAGGGCTTCCTTCTCCTCAGGAAATGGGTATCGACGTTTCGAGCTTTCTGTCAGCTCTACACAACCATCACAACCCAACTGATCCAAATGACATTCTGTAATTTTTATCACCAAGTTACCAGTAATTTGATGTCATCAACCATAGTCGAAACAACATCCCATCTTATCTGCCTTTATTTCAAACCAGAATTGGCAGCTGCCTGATGCGCTGTGAGCCATGAAACATACTCTCTCCCTAACATGAAAGGCCGTACGGCCAGCAGGAAATTCAGGAGTATTCAGGCCCGTATGTCTCTTTCAGTATCACGATTGTGAACCACATTTATAATCATTTATACAGATACATATCTTTACAATGCTTTGCAAAACTTCCTAGTTTAGATTTCAAAGGCACGCAGTTGGAGACCTCTACGACTCTACGCGCTGTAAGCCCCTCAAGCGCCACACTGCAGCAAGCTTTGAAAGATCCAAAGCGGGCATCGAAGGCTTCCTCACCGGCTCCACCTGCATCCAAAGGCAAGTCACCAACATCTGTAATCTGTGTGATCTAATTTGGTTCAAGAATGTTCAAGATGATTTCTGTGTTTCACGTGAAACAAACGAAGGGTTGTTGGAGAACAAACAGAACAAGTGGGGCTTATCTGGATTTGAACAGGCAAGCGCTGGTGACAGATCAAACGAGCTCGTAATCTTCATATGCGTGGCACCTTCTTCCTGACTGGTGGCATCATCAGCTTGGCGGCGGAGAAGGTCTGTCCAGTGCGAACGTCGCTAAGACGTCAAAGACAAACATGGAAAAACGGCATTGGTTTTTTTTTCCAGCTTTGGTTCTTTGATCTTTTTGGATATTCTTTGATTTCTTGGATGTTCTTTGCAACGTCAAGTTTCTTCTTTTCAGTGCTCTCAAACCTGAAGTGCAATGGACTTGAGTATACTGTGAGTACTTTCAGCACAGCACGACCGACCAAAACAGGTCTGAGATGTTTGACCTTGGTTTGGCCCCAGGCCCACATTGATGAAACCCAATTTTTCCCACCTGAGGTAGTGGGGCACTACTTGGAGGCCCTTTGTCCTGGGATCAAGTCAGCAAGTGCCACATTTCTTGGAAGGTATAGTGCAGAAGGAACGAACATCGAGAATCAAGCATCTAAGTATATAATTGTCAGTACAATATATATATATATATATCAATGATGTAATTTGATGTAATTTGTTTCATTTTCGTTTCGAGAGGCAAAAATGGGAATGGGGTACTGTGGTCTTTGGTAGTATTCATATATATAATCTATCCCAGTTGGCTATCTACGTTCTACTAGCGGGGCCAAGCTCATTTCGCTGCCGATTGCAGTGCTGAGCGCCTTCTCTGCATCTGGCTTTTTCTCGCTTGGCTTCTCTGGTGCAGGAGCAGCCTGAGGGGATTCATTCGGTGATATTCCAGGACTACGATGGTGATAACAGTCATGATCAGTGATGATAATCTATTTAGCACTGTGAATCTGATGGTAATATCAACAAGCAGGAGCCTCTGCAACAGAGCAAAAATCGGAACATGAGTCAAATGCCAATGCACCTTTTGGATACTTTTGGTGATTTGCATCACCATTTTGACTTGCTGAATCAGGCTGAATCATGGCATTTTTGCAGCATGGGCATCACAGAATTGCATCGTAACAGTAGCAGCAGGCTCATTGCATTTTGGATCGGGCTCGACATGGACTCGAAATGGACTGGAACATACTGGAACTAGATCATCTAGATCCGAAAAAGTTCGAAATGGATTGAACATGATTGAACAATCTTGTCCGATGTCCGAAGATGTCCGAATGATTTGAAATGTGCTCGAGGTCGCCAGCTTTGCTGGCTCCACGATGCTCCTCACGTCCCTGGCGATTCAAATTGATTCACGACCGAATCAGCCAGGCTGGGCACTTCTCTAGCCAGGCCACATTCAGCTGACAAGTCTTGACTGCAAGGTGCAAAAAAGGCATTTGAAATACTCAAAGCACGTGCACCACAGATCGCAACATATACATATTTGATCATATTTGGCTTCAAACATCTTCAAACATGTCTTGAAACACCTTGAAACGCTTTGTTCTTGCTCGCGTTTTGTTTTGATCTTCGACAGCTTCCTGGAATCTTCTGTCTTTGAGAAAGTCCAGCTTTGCTTGTCTGGAGCTTCCAAGACAACCCATGTGGGCGGTTTACTTGCTCATGTCGCACTACAATCTCACGAAAGCATACGAAAGCATCCATCTGCAAGTCCAGGCGTTTCCATCACTTCCGGAAACTATCTCTGTGCCATGCAAAAATAGATGTTACTTGTGCCTTTCACCCTTGACCATCAGGTTTGTCTTTTCGGCAACCCGCCATCCGCTTTTCCACGAGTTTTGTTACTGCTCATGGCATCTCTCTTGACATCTTGCGGTGGAGGATCAGCTGGAGGAGGTAAAGGAGGATCTTCATCAGGGACAGGAGGAGAGACCAAAGCAGCCGCGGCAGCGGGAGAAGGTCCTTTCTGAGATTCATCTTGGACTTCTTGATCCATTTGTTTGACTGGCTCAGTTGGCTCATTCAAGTGTTCCACGGGCTGCTCCATGCCATCTTTTTCTGCCTTGCCTCAGAGATTGGGGAACCATGTCTGAGGGACCTTGAGACAATATCTACCAACTTCAAAACAATGCCCACCAATATCCAACAATGTCATAGAATCAACCTATGAGTACACAACTCTGCAAAACTCGGGTTGTAGTAACTAGTGGAAGCACTGGTGGTAAACAGTTTCTCAAGGATCTGAAGAAACCTAAGAAACTGAGTCTCTGGCTCTCAGGGCATGGAACCACGCCCTCGGAGGAATCTTTCGATTCTTTCACACCTTTCCCCACACCTTTCCCTTCTTTCCCCTCGTTTTGCTTTGCCTCAAGAGACTTCTTTGATCTGGATCTCTCCCGCTGTAATTTGAAGCTGTCGTCCTTTCCATCCTTTCCATCCTTTCCATCCTTTCCATCCTTTCCATCCTTTCCATCCTTTCCATCCTTTCCATCCTTTCCATCTTTTCCCTTTGATCCAGAGGATAATCTTTGTTCGGAGTACACAGGCGTGACCTTTGGCTCAGCTATACTTGGCTCGGCAGCTTCACTCTGCACGCAGCTGCAACTGGCTAATCCCATGGCTCCCGCCAGCCATGAAGCGAGCAAAACAAAGTCTTTCCATGTCTTTCCTTTTCCTCTCTTCCTGGTTTTGCTAAAGCTTGACTTGAAAGAACCCGAATCAATTCAATGTAAACATTTAGCATTTTCGATTTCTTCATGACAAGCTCCAACCAAAACAGCTTTGCCGGTTTGTATCCTGAACACCTTGTGTCGGAGGCTGACAATGCACATGCACAAATGATAACATATCTGGCACTGAGGAGCACTAAACCCACCTAGCATGAGGGCATCAAAGGTCAAACGGATTCAAACGGTCCAAATGCCAACTGCCTTGGGCTCAGCAAAGATATCATCGCCCTCACGCTTCTGCTTCTCAGCAGATGCATCACCACCTGTGCTGCTCACTGATCGAGAATTGATGAAAACTGCTGTTGCATGCACAATGTCACGTGATGATACGTGATGTTGATTCAAAATGGCAGGTCAGATTAATCAGATGCCAAATGTGCAACACGTGCATTTCTGGGACGCCCACCGAGCAAGTTTCCATAGAGGGAATCAAGCATTGTGGCTCAAACATAGAACGTCGTTACACATGTGAACTGACCAGGCTGTTGATAGTAGGCAACGTGGAAGCTAAGTGCAAGTGTGCATCTATCGGTCCATCTCCGGTATTGGAAGATCATCAAGTTAATAAGAATTTAATAACTTTAACATATAAAACAAGATGAAAGAAGAGGGCTCAACTGGGCTCAACTGGGCTCAACTGGCTCAATTTGCAACAGTGTCGTCAACTGGATGTCCTCTGCAGCCCTCATCCCTTGTGGTAAAATGGCTTGCGGATGGATCTCGGTATGGGGATATGCTGGGCCAGCACGGTGCAAAGTGAAAGAATGTGAAAGACGTATGCAGTTTCTTCTCTTCAATCTCCAAGCGTGCAAGCATTTAATGCTGAGCTCTTCCTTTTCCAGAGATGTCATTTGATCGAAAAAGCGCAGGATACTCCATATCTTGCATCTGAGGCAAAGACCGATAGACACTTTCGGGAAAAACTAAGCTGCACTTTCCATCGGCAAACCAGACCGTGAGGACCTATTCAAAACGAAAATGCAGGTGGTCTATAGAGCTGAAATTTGGACTCGTGTCTGAACATGTCATGATATCTGTCGCCATGTAATATAAAAGATTATAAAAGTGTTATTTGCTGTCCATTTCGATTTTCTGCTGGGGATGCCACAATTTCGTGGTGGCAAACCTTGATGACTGTTGTCGCTTGCCTGTCCAGCAAGGCGAAGTGGGGAGATCTGGGCCCTCAAAGCTGCGATGGATCAGGAGAGGGTAGATCTCCCTGCTCTGTCGTGTAACCCCTGCTCTCTTCAGATTAGATCACTCCCATTCCATGCTTTCACCTGTTTGGATCTGTTTGGACTATCCATGCCCACAAAAGGACAAGTATATCTAAGTATTGACATCTCGACTGACCTGAACTCTCCACTAGGCAGAAATGGCAAGGAAAATCGCAAGTCGGAGATAGTCGGAGCATGCTGCTGGAGAACATGCTGATTACTCATTGCGATATCATCTGCATCAGCCCCGATGCCAACAGGCATCATCATTGTTGCAGATGCAGAAGGGGTGATGTGCTTTGCCCCTACTCACAACTTTCAAACTTATAGATCTTATAGGCAACTGCGGATTCTGACCAAAACATCAGCGGATATGGCAGCTAAGTGTAGCTACGTGTTGGTTCTTGATCGACCCATCAGACCCCCAGCAAATCCAGCAATCCTAATCCAAACACAGTCCGAAGTGATTCCCTTGCACTGACGCACTCCCGGCTGAGTATGCTGAGTTTCCAACCATGTCCCAAGCAACTGCGAATCCCTCTCGGGCTTTGACCTTCGGCAATGTCACAACAGAGTCATCCATGGTCATCCCAAGACATATCCCCTTGGGGTGCAGGAACAAAGCAGTATATAAGTTCTATAATAAAATACACATTAAAATCACCATCCATAATCGTGGTATGGATTGTGTTTTCATTTGTTCATGGATAATGCATTTGGATTTCACCAAACTGCAAAACTAGAATATGTTTAATAGATTATATATAATTGTCTAAAGAAACTGAAATGAAGCAATGACAGCAAAACCAATAAGAGTCTGCAAGAAATCGAAGGCACCTTACAAGTGTTCTCCATGCCTCATCTGCGTCTAAATCTAGTGCAATGACAAAACACTAGCAATATGATCCGGAAACGATACACCAACCGAAAGTGGGCGGTCCCCTCTCTTCCTCAGGTTACCTTCGAGAACAAACTCGAAGCAAACTTGGAGCCTGCAACTTCACCTTTGGAAACAACAGCTCTCCAGCACAGTCATCTGCTATGTCCTGAGGACTGCTGAAACTTGGACCAGCTTGAAGCAGCATGGATGGACCCGGGGTGGACGTTTCTTCAAGATGCTCTTGTCCGGCTCAGTAAGTGCGAAGCATGAAGGAACAGGTACACTGCCCTGGCACCTGCCTAGCAAGAACGTGTTTCAACTTGTTTCGACACATGGTAGAAATGCTCAGAGTTGCTATATATAAATCACTGTTTAATGTCCAGGATAAGACCAATGCTACAAAACTGGACAAAACAAAACACTAACAGTTCGCTGCCAGCACAAAGGCTCCAACAACCTTGGGTTGCGAAACCACAGCAGCTCCGCTTGTCGCCTTCCCCGAAGGCAGAGGCAGGGTGAACTTCACATCAGAGGGTGTGTACAGCAACTATAGTGGCAGTCGCAGCAGTCAGTCATGAAGTCGGTTGGGTTTCATGGGATATCAGTGGGATATTGCAAATTCAGCAATTTGAAACACCACGGAGTGTTGTCGAACGATCTTGTGCTTTGTATCTACTCTTGATCTCCCATTCACTCACACACACCAACTCATTGATCACTTGCTGTATGTTTGCTTCAACCGTCAACCAAGCTTTCAATCATCTACTCAACTCACCCACCCACTCAACAAACACCGGTCCACTCAATCAATCACTGACACTCTTTAAATCTCTAATCTCTTTCATCTCCCTTCTCTATAGATTTTTCCCCACCTGCCAGGTGAGGGCTGTTAGATTTTATGTCAGTTGCCTCCTCGTCCTCCTCCTCCTTCTCCTCCTCCTCCTCCTCCGCCTCCTCCTGCCTCGTCCTCCTCTCCTCCTCCTCCTCGTCCTCTTCGTCGTCCTCGTCGTCCTTGCTCAACTGCGACTCGCGATCCACAGTGTTCGCTGTCGGACCTCAACCACGACCATCCACGCCCAGTGTTCCCTGCCGGACCTCAACCACGACCATCCACGCCCAGTGTTCCCTGCCGGACCCCCACGACCACGCCCAGTGTTCCCTGCCGGACCTCCATCCGCGCCCAGTGTTCCCTGCCGGACCTCAACCGCGAGTATCCATGCCAAGTGTTCCCTGCCGGACCTCATGTAGGAATGTCAGATAGACTGCCAGATAGAATGCCAGATAGAATGTCAGATAGGATGCCAGATAGAATGCCAGATAGAATGCCAGAAAGAATGCCAGAAAGAATGCCAGATAGAATGCCAGATAGAATGTCAGATAGGATGCCAGATATGAATGCCCAGAATAGAATGCCAGAAAGAATGCCAGATAGACTGCCAGATAGAATGTCAGATAGAATGTCAGATATAATGCCAGATAGAATGCCAACATATATGCCAGAATATATGTCAGATAGAATGCCAAAATATATGTCAGATATAATGCCAGATAGAATGCCAGAATATATGCCAGAATATATGTCAGATAGAATGCCAGAATATATGTCAGATATAATGCCAGATAGAATGCCAACATATATGCCAGAATATATGTCAGATAGAATGCCAAAATATATGTCAGATATAGAATGCCAGAATATATGCCAGAATATATGTCAGATAGAATGCCAGAATATATGTCAGAATAAATGACAGGTAGAATGCCAGAATATATGTCAGATGAAATGTCAGAAAATATGTCAGATAGAATGCCAGATAGACTGCCAGATAGAATGCCAGGTGGAATGTCAGGATATATGCCAGATATAATGCCAGATAGAATGCCAGAATATATGTCAGATAGGATGTCAGAATATACTAAATATATGTCCAAATATACGTCCTGACATGTCATGGTGGGGATCACACGAAGTAGAGTAATTCTCTTTTTCAAGTTGGAAACTTGTGGACCCCTCTTGTCTGCCCTCATTGGAGGTCGGTTGACTCATTGGACACACAGAAGGGGTTCACCAGGAAAATGACCATCAGTCTTGGGATAGTGGGCTGAGTCTGGGATTTCTTTAGCCAGCTAGCTGGTAAATATTGGTAATTATGGTAAATTCACATACAGCAAACATGGCAAACATCTCGCTTGAACATGTTTAAACATGTTAAAACATGATGTTAAAATGTTGCCCATTTGGTCTGCTAACACTTCACACATCTTCACACATCTTCACACAGAAAACACCTCAGCTGGCAAGCGTCTCAGCTCCAAGTCCCCGAGTGGGCTTTGGCCTTCACAACCTCGCAGCGGCAACATATCACTTTCACAGCTTTCACACATTTACATTAAATTTACATCGACATAATCGACATCTCTCTCCGGAACAGGTCGTTCAAGGAAATTCATCGATACAGATACATTCAGACATATTCAGAAATTCTCCGAAATTGAAAGTATAAAAGACCAAAATGCATTCATCAACATTCATCGAATTTATGAATTTCATGAAATGTTCATCCATATCAAACAATACCGCTCAATACCATTCAATACCATTGAAAACCATTACAGTACCATTAAATAACATCCATAGCCACAGGGCCTGCAGCAGCTGCTAGTCTTGCTTCAAGGTCTGCCAAGAGTTCCTGCACGTCCCTGGCGAAGGTGCGCCGAGAAACAGTTTTTGGAACAACAATCACAATAATCACAAACATTGTAATACATTGGTGAGCTTTCATGAGCTTTCCTGATTTCGAAACATAATTCAAATCCAATAAATCCACATTTGCATCACTAGAAGCTGGACCACTGCATCAGTTGTCCAAAGGCTGTGAGGGAGCAAAGATTCAGCCCTGGAATTTGCTGAGTCTCAAGCGCTTGGGCTGGATCTCGCCAACCATTGGGGGGCACACGGCCCTGCTGTTTGTCCATCAAATCCATCAATTGACCTTCAGAAATCATACCCGTCATACCCCTTCAAGCAAGCACATCAAACACCAAGTCCTTCTTAGTCTCTTGCAGAGGCAAATCAGAATCAGAACTATTCAAAAATTGTCTGGCCAAGTGTAAGTGAAAAAGCTGTCTGTTCTCTATCTGCTGCAGCTTCTTCACAAGAACAACTTGTGAAGACTTTGGCAAAACTTTGTTGAAGCTTCTGCATGGTTCTGGAAGACTGCAAAACTGTTGGCGCCTGCTTCCTTCGAGGTCACCACATTGGGCACCATCCATCTGACAACGTAGCATACATGTGGCTACAAACGATCTGCGTGCGTCAGCTGCATGCTTTCATCACATCTGCAACAGACTCCAATGGACACGTGTGCTCTGAAAGGGAAAACCCATCTGAAAATATCTGAAAGGGAAAGTGTGAACAGCACGGACAGCACTAAACAGCGGACCATCTTTTTTTTAAGTGTCAGCGCCAAGTCGGAACTGTAGATGTAGACAATTTTCTTGCCTCTGTTCCTTCATTCGCGTGAGCTTCGCAACTAGTTTGCGCTGCGCGTCGTTCTGTGCCCAGCACTGCCACCGTGAGGGCCATGTAATGACTTCCTCAAGCATCTCAAGCTTCAAAGACTTATTCAAAAAAGACTAAGGAGATCTAAGGAGTCATAAGGAAGGACTCTGTCTGTTCCTGGGTTTGGAATGAGACTAGCCACCCAGCAGCACGTTCGCTGCTGCGCATAGGTCCGCTGCCGCTCTGGACAAGTCTTCCAGCTCCCATGCCGTTTGCTTTGAAACAATTGTTTGTCTCCTGTGTTGGAATCAAGCTCTTATGGGATCTCATCCACCAGCGTGTCGGTTGCAGACTTGTTCACGAGTCCAAAGAGTTGCAGAAGAAATTGGCAATTGCATCCTGCAAGTCGTTGGACATCGTTGGACTCTTGCCTTTGAGCGTTGTAGCCGTGGAGACTTCCTGAAACTAGTCTTGATTTTCCTTGAACTTCACTTCTCTTCAACTTTCTAAACAAATTTTAGTAAGTTGTCTCTGGGTTTCATCCTGCATCTCGCCCTTTACCGCCATCAGGAGCTGCTCCTGCTTTTTCTTGTCTTCATCAGCCGGGAAGAGTGTGAACACCATGAAAAGGAGATGCACCTTGCTCAATGAAGTCGTGAAACTGAAAAAGGATGCTTCAGACTTCAGAATGCAAAGTTCACGCTCTTCCCTGCGCATCTCTTTCACTCAAGAAGGTGCAGCAACTTAATTGCAATCTCTGCACCTCTTGAACAAAATGTCTTGATCTGCCTGCAGCTATCCCTCCTGTAGCTGCAACCCACAGTCGTGCCCACCGGTAGCATCCCCGTAGCTATCGGTTCCAGAAACATCACTGGGGATATCAAAAACCAACCATTCAAAGGTCAGTGTAGGGGTGTTTGAAATTCCAATGTCATAGCGACATGATGGACATGAAGCCCAACCGGTGCCAAAGGGCATGTCAGGTTGGGTGGGCCCACCTGAATTTGGCACTTGGTGACTGCTCACGCCACCAGCTGACGACTCTTTTGTCGTTGCGTCCCACGTGCTGACCATCTGGTCTCTGACATCAGCTGCCCCCTGGCTGACTTTGCACGGGAGAATATGGACCACATAAACATCATGCCGAAGCGGCCGCAACGAACGGCGAAGACAGCGAAGACATGTTAGTTCATGTATTCCATCACTATTAGATGGATGGCTACTGCAGCCAGAAAGCTCGTTGGCTAGCCCTTTTGCAAAATCTCACAAACAGGGTCTCCAACATTCTCTCCCCCCGAGTGGATTGAACGACTTTAAGGCGGGTAAAACTACATTTCACATCGTTTTGCACTGAGGTTGGAGCATTGCTGGTTCTTGTGATATGCGAAGTCTCTGCAAACAAAGACCTGTCTTGTTCCAAGTCGGATCACCGTGTCACATCGTGTCACAGTATTGAGACAAGAAGATAACCGCGCCTGGACCTGTATGCTTGGCTTTGGCCTTGCTCACAGTACAAAGCGCTACAATATGCTGCAAGATGCTGCAAGTCTGCTCTGTTGCCACTTACCAAGATTTTTGAGGTCAAGCAAAATTGAACTCTAGGCGAGCTATGCCATGCCGAGCTTGTGTAAAAGCCATCAAAGCACCGATACTCGACAACCATTATTTGAACGTGTTGGAACGTCCCAATCTCAGATTCATACAGGATATCGCAAAGCAATTTCCATTGGGTCCAGAGTCGCGGGTTTGTTGGGACCTGAATATTCTTGGCACACCCGCGACCCGCAAAATTATGACATCCAAGCATGGCAGATTAGAGATGATTCATCAAATCACCTGGACACCTGGACTCATTCTCTTCATCCCTCGATTGGTTCTGAATCCGATTCACATGGTTCTACCATGTTCATCCATGTTCTACCCATTTCTACCCTTCTACCCTCTCCATCCCAGTTGTTGTGTCCGCTTCTACTATCTTCTACTCACCAAACTGACAAATTATTGTCACATTGACATCTCACCGAGATCTCAGTTGCGCACATATCGCTGGAGCCGATGTCTCGGAATCTGTCACCCACTCTTCATACTCTTCACCAAAGTTTGCACAGTTGAACAGCTTTGATGTTCAACCCAGAGCCTTGAAAAACAAAACGCCGCATCGGCTTGTCATTGAAGAAGCAATTTACACCTCACAACGAGGACAACATACAGCAACAGTCACCAACTGGCATCGAAGCTTCTTTCCAACAAGTGTTGATCAATGATGCAACATGATCCCAACATGATGCACCGATGTTCATACACTAACCATTGGTAACCAACGGGAATCTAGGCCAGCATAGGCCAGCGGGAAGCTGTTTGTATCTTTTTGTTGTCCATGGCGAAGCTCTGAGGTCGTGGCCGTACTTTGTGGAGATCGTAGGTGGCAAACCTTGATGAACCTGGAACATCTGGAACCACAAAACGATCGAACACCATCGAACAACATCGAACAACTCCTTTCCGCCCACAATCCTCTGATTTCAATATTCACTGGTTCATACTGGTTCATGGTTCATGGTGGCACAAAATATGGCAAGCTCATGCGAATGCATTGCACATGGTACATTGACATACGCAGTCCTGCAAGTACGATGTGAGTTTCACGTCTAGATTTGGATACGAATGACAGTTTTCGAAAAGTCATACATCAACCTTTTACATCCTTTTACTTTCTTGTTGCAGCAAAGTCTGGCTGAAGAGGATGTTTTGCGTTCAAATACTTTGCCTTGACGCATTTCAAACAGCCAAAACTTGCTATAGACCAAGGGTGCACTAGAAGTCGTTCACCGTTCACTTCATGGCACTTAGCTAGAACATGCACTTGACACTTTCATGCCATGCTCACACTTTGTGTTCCGAGAGGCACGTGAAACTAGTGTCAAATTAGTTGCCCGGTGGATGCGGGATCTGCCAGGGCAAAGGAACCATGCAAGGTCTTTCGTCTCATTCTCAAAACCAGAATGAACGGAGACCTCCCTGAAATTCAAAGGTCTGTACTACGTACTTAGACTAAAAGTACATTTGCGTGTACGATAGCTCACGTGTTCATCATCTTGATCATGTCCTCTTGCATCGCTTTACTCAACGACACGTCGTCACTCCTTTCTGTCGTTTCAATTCACTGGTGGTCGCTCCACACAAGCCAATATTACCTTCTCGAGAATGACAAGAAATCTGATGTGCGTTCATACCAGTTCCCTGGAAAGGCCGAATGTTGCTCGCCTCGACATGGCAAGGAGATTCTGAACACTGCGGTGCATGCAATTAGTTATGCATGCAGTTGATGTTAAAGGACGGCTGAGAAAGCAATTCTCAAACGTCCTGAAAACATTTGGACATGTTAAAGTCATGTTGGTCCCAAATGAGCTGCTGTGAACATCTGTGAGTAACAAAACATAACAACACAAAGCCAAACAATCTGCTTAAATCTGCTTAAGGCTTGCCATCGGCCTTGTCATCGAACATGTAGACCTGCGATCTTCGGACGCCAAGTTCTTGTGCCATCCTTCGAGCTTTCCTGGCCTTGCAGCCTCTGTTGCAACTGAGGATGTTCTGAGGCACTGGAATGTTTGGTCGCGCACGATGATGCGCACTGATCCCTCTGACATGACAATCTGCGCTGCACCAGGTGTTCCATACATTTTGCCCGAGGTGAGACAAAGTGACCTTACCCCCTCCGTAGGCATCGTCATGGCCACCAACGACTTTGTTCCCTGGGCATGTCCCCGTGTCCTCTTGACGGCCTGTGATTGTCCGATCAATGTCAAAGATGCACAGGCAATATCTGGACCGAGTGCCGGTCTGACCATGCTGTGACGACTTTGTGGTCTGGTTGAAAGCAGCCTCCACGCCCAAAGCTTGGGCCACAAACCGCCAGCCACCCAGCAAATAGGCAGTGAGGTTCTCTGGGCTCAGGGAGTGGTCTGCCGGACTTGAAGATTCAGAAGGAATTCCTCAGCTCTGCAATTCTGCACGGCTTAAATCGATTAATTATATAATTAAGCGCTTTTAAGCGCTGGGTACAGTATGTTACACATTCTGGTCCGTGAGCCCCGTGAGGCTTTGAGCAAATCTCAAGATGTTTCTCATTCACTTCTCAGATTGTCCGCATTGCAAATCATTTCAACAAGCCTAATAAGCCTGTAGTACATTATAGTCCAAAGCCTATAGCCTATAGTGATCTATAGTGTTCATTTAGATCTTTAATTAGATATCTTTAGTACTTGTTGTATCTGATTCAAACAGCAGAATGGATGACATGCATTAACATCAATATCTCCAATGCATAGAGTCAATGGCTATTTTGGCTATTTTGGAACCTGATTCCACTTCGATCCACTTCGTATGCAAGTCTCGAGCCAAGCTCGCATTCAGGTGTGTGGAGTTGGATCCGCTGACCTGTCCGCAACATTCCGCAACACGGTGCTTGTGCTGTTGGACGAGAGCATCGGATTTCGTGAACTAGGTAAACCATGGTAAACCATGGATATGCATGGAAAACCCCTCAAAGAATCTTGAAGAGCCATTGTTGGTATCCAGCCTGCTTGTCACCCCGAAGATTGCGTACGTCCTCAGTACAATTTCGAATTTGTGTCAGTGAAACCGAGACTTTCAACATCTCTCAGCGTAGGCTGCAAAGCTCATTTGGCAGTGCTTGGCTTTGTTTTCAGGGTTCTTACTTCTCACATCTTCTCACTGAGCTCATGCACTGGTGACGGTGTCGCTGCAGCCACGGACAAAATCAAAAGCACAACCTTGAAGACCTCGGCGTTCTCACCAATTGTCGGCAGGCAACAATTTCTGTTTGGATGCACCTCTGCTTCTGGGATTGCGCAATTGACTTTGCAGTATGTTGATCGATTTTGCACCAATCTATCTCATGGTTTTCAAAGGATTGTTGAATCAGCAATTGATTCACAAACCAGAACCCTATAAACCAATAAAATGGAGAACCACTGTATACAACGCACGCTAAACCGCATGCTACAGGGGTCCACAGGGCATTAGCACTCTTACTCTCTGTGTGACAGCAACACAACCGATTCCTCAGCAAAGCCACCATTGTTGCCAAGCCAGTTGACAAATCCTCACTGTACTAGTTGTGCTGTCAAGCCCAAAAAAATGCTGCAGGTTGTGCATCGTGATCTCTCAGCGTCTCTTTCTCGTGATGTATGTGAGCAACAGTCATGTAGAATCTAAGTGTAATTCATGAATATTCATGATCTATGATGAGGATCATGAGAGCTTCGCACATTCTGATTTGTTGTGATGTGTTGAGGGACAAGTGCCCCAAGAAGAGCGTTACTATCTTCGGCTCAACTTCTCTGAATAGATTCAATGATATTCAATGCTAGAAACTGGTCTCAGTATGTCTCAGTTCATGACAGCTGACGACAGCTGACGTGAACATACGTGAACTCAGGCAGAGGGTACCATTCTGTGATCCTCTTGTTGAGGTCCAAGAATATTGCTCCACATCACCTGGACGGGGACGTGCTGACAGCCACGTGGCCACGGCTCACGAGTCGTCGCTAGATCCGCTGAGAATCGCTGAGGGCAGTGCTGCGCAACCTCGTCGAGGCACAACCTGCCCAAGGTAGCTGGCAGTAGCTGCAGTGGAAGTACTTGCCATGAGATCAAGAAATAATATGAAATAATGACACTGATCTTGCAGTTTTGCATTGAATTCAGCCACACCAGTCACACAGTGTGATCCGGTTCTTCTGCATATACTGTACTTCGGATTACATCAGTAGCATTTTGAGCCATTCTATATCTTAATCTCATAAGAAATTAATTCATGTACAGAATATATCAAACAACTGGCTGAACATAAATATGACGGCATGTGTCCCATTTAAAATTGAAGCCGTGCACATTGGCAGTCCAGCTCAGATGTTCAACTCACACAGAAAACTGCTCTCGACAATCCTCTTGAGAATGGATGCTGCAAGTGCCAGTGGCCTTCATGTTGAGCTCCCTGAAATATGTCTCACCACCTTCTCCAGGCCTGAGTCATGGACACAAACTTCGCTCAATTGCAGTATAGAAATATATCAATCTTAAAAAAAAAAAATCAAAACATCTACACACAGTCATCATATGTCATCATCATTGAATCATTGATCAAGAATCCGTGGGGACGGCCAAAACAACTTCGATGATGCGGGGAAAACATGGGGATTCACCGTGCACTTGACTTGGCAGCAATCCCAGGTGCGCGAGAACCATCGAGAACCGGGCGGAATGTCATTCAAGTAGATGAACACAGTGATCGGGCCTCGGCATTCGACGATGCGCTCAACATCACTCAACTCCCTCGGCAATTTTCATTGGCTGCAAATACTCTGCTCCCAACGGAAACGTCCATCATGGTGTTCTTTAAAGAACTGGCCTGGTGCATACCTGGCACAGCATCCAACCCTGATAGGTGCTGAGTTTCCACGATTTCCCTATATTTCCCTCAAACTCTCTGGAGTTTGTCCTTTGATTTGTGTTCCAGGCCTAAAATTTGGGGTGTTTCAAGCACACCACAGTCAAACAAAAAGTGAGATTGTCTGGGCAGCTTTGTGGAAGCATGTGTGCGCGCCTGACCATGTTCAACGGTTCCAAGTATTTCACATCCATTTCCTAAGTCCATTTGCTTTTGAGCATACAAAGATATACCCTCTGGTAAACTAACATAACTATGGAAAATCACCATTTTTAATGGGAAAACTCACTAGAAATTGCCATTTTCAATAGCTATGTTAAATTACCAGAGGGTACAAAGGATCACAGAGGTTCCCAGATGTTCCCAGATGTTCCCCGAGGTTAGCCGTGGCCATGTCTGTCGCTTCCAATTCTGTTGAGCTGAGAGTCAGCCAGCGCGGCCAAACGATGCTCGATCTTAGCCGCTTGAACAGATCGATTTCCGATTCCCATTGGTTTTTGGACATTAGTATCATGAAGCCTGTCTCTGCCAAAGGTGCCATGGTAGAAACATGTAGAAATATTTTTCAATGTTCCAGTAAGTTGTCGTGTGATGGCTTGCTTGGCTTATTTGTATCATCTGAATCATCTGTGATCATGGCTGCCGTCACGGTCGGCGTGTGACTCGGCTCGATGAGGCAAGAGTATGAGGTTCGAATATCCGAGACCTGATTTTCCTCAGTTCATGCTGGGGGGCAAAATGGACCAAATGCCATCGCTGTGAGTAGGTTCTGGTGGAAGGCTCCAGCCGTGCTTGAACATGAACATGTTTGAACTCCATCTCAGGTTGCGGCCAAGTCTTTGCCTTCATTTTTTGTGCGGTAAACTCCTGAACCCACCTGGCAAAGGATGGCCGAGATCATCTGAGCATGGTCAACAAGCACGATGATCACCATGGTCGGAAGCGGTTGTCGAAATTTGTCGAATACAACGTGATACAGCATGATTACATATGATTACAACATATTACAACATCAGACAGCACAGATTCCACAGATTGAAGTTTCAGAGCGCCTCAGATGGCTCCCAGCCTCGTCACAGACAGTTTGACAGTTCGCACAAACACGTTGGCGGAAAAGTATTTGAACATATTTGAACAACCAAGGATCTTTGAACCGAGAAAAATACGATGACCCGCAAATTCATGCGTTTGATATCGGTTGATCATGGTTAAACCCTCCCAAGCAAAATTGCAGCCTTCATGCATTGCGCAGGAGTGAGGAGTTGAGAGTTGAGATCTTGGGAACCAACCTTCTTCCGCAAGTCCAAGTAAATGCTCAATCTCTGCCTAAGTCAGAGACTGAAGTTATGTTTAGATTTTTTTTTAGAAACATCTGAGCGGGCAAAAAAGCTTCGGTTCTTGGAAAGTGACTTCGTTGACAAAGCCTGGAATCACAATGACCTCAATGCATTGCCGCTTTCCATGTCGTGGTTTTGCAAATGCTCAAAACCTTGTAGCAGCAGACGGCAATGAAACTGTCCTGGCCTCTGGGTCACCAAGAACATTGTACGCAGTCAGGACAGGCCCCTTCCCCTCAGTCAAACCAGCATATCATCAGATCTTACTCAGCTTGAAGATGCTCCAAGTGCATATGGTCACAAATGTCACAACCTTGAGTCTCCCACAGAATCTTCTTGAACCTGTCGAACCTCGCCCTTGCCAACCTTTGCATGTACTGCAATGTCTCTTGTGCCTATGATGGGGATAATCAGCTTCTTGATGATTGCTTGAAACTGCTCATTCTTACTCACTGGACATTTCTGCAAGCGTTGAATTTGAGGGACATAAGTGATATAAGTGACATGTAATTAGTGTGACAAATATATTCGCCTGCTTGTTGACTTCATAGCAAGCAACATCGACATGAAGTCACACCCAGCAATACACACAAGAGCTATCGATAGATCTGCCTCAGCTGGATCAATGATCAGCTCTGCCATGTCGAGTGAACCCAGTTCTCTCTCCTTGGTATCCCAAAGTCAGGACACAGAAACACGAGGGCCAACATGGGCCAACATGGGCCAACACCAATAAGTACTCGTTGACGATTCCATGCTTCAAAACTCAAAACTCAAAGAGTTTGAAAGAACGACCGAGCCTCTGATTCCATCGCCGCTGGATATGCGCTCAAATTAACAACATATTTTGCTGCGTAATCCCGTGCCGTGCTTGGCAATTTTGTCTTGCAAGGTGGATGTCAAAAGCTGTCGGGCTGTCTAGGTTTTCGGGACCTAAACTGATCTGACTTGCCTGAGATGTCAATGCAATTCTACGACTGCCTTTGGCTCCCTATACGGCGGAGGCGAGGATAAATATGAGCTCAGATAGTTCACCCAAGCTGACTGTGAAACTTCCTGAACTTCTGTGAAGCTTACATGCGGTCTTGCACCTCAACGTTTTTTTTCTCTCAGACTTAATGTCAGAACGCGACGTCTAGAAGAGAAAGTGGCGGCAAAAGACCTTGGTGGCACTTGGTGGCATAGCATTTGATGAAAACGGCACAGGAGCTTTGTGTCTTAAATCATCTCAAGCCTGCATCTCTTTATGTCTTGATATATCTTGATGCTGCAAAAAAAAGCCAAGATCTCGGCCAGCTCGGCAATTCGTTACCTGACTTTGATTCTCATAACTTGTGCGGGGTACATTAAAAAGAAAGGTTTGCTTCCAAACTATGCCTAGTCAAATCTAGTCAATGCCCCAAAACCCTTCATCCAGAATCCATGCCATGCGCCCCCCAGTCTCATCAGTTTGCCTGATCGTGCCACCGGGCGCATCATTTCAAATCCAGGAGGTAGCACCACCTGCCGTGGTGCAAGGAAACACTGCAGAGACTGGAACTGTCACACAACAGGCTATTACATCTATCTTCATCATTTTACATCCATACTTAAGTTATAAATATACTTAAATCATGTTATGTCCTGTTATTGTCATCTTATTTCTAGTTTTATGAATTCCATTTGTGGATCGCCAGCAACATTTTGTCATGTCTGCAACAAAAAAATTGCCAGCCTCCAAACCTCGGTGTCAAGATTCTGAGCAGATCGAGCTACCCCTACCACTGGCCTACACCCTCCAAAATCTCCAAATGTTTGGATGATTTGTCTAGAGATGTCTAGAGTATTCTGCTGAGATCTGCAGAGCATTGAGAAGAATTGAGTAAATTTGTCTTAGCATAGACTAGCGCTGTTGCACTGTGAGGCAGCCAAGACTGTGCACCTGGCCATGTTTTGGTACCTCAAGGCATGCAGTGATTCTCCGTGTTCTTTTCAAAGAAATTGTTCTCTCGAAATGAAATTGTCATCTTCAGATGGGCCCACGATGACCGCAGCGAGCAACCTTTTCCCATGTGCGTGGGGAATTCTTTGAGATCTGCCATGATCAGATCTGATTTTGTCCCAGTTGGCATCTTTGGTCATTCATCATCATTCTGCCAATTCTGCATTTAAATTGGAAAGCACCAGGTGCCAGCAATGGCACCGACCGAATTACTAAAGACTGCCTCTGGCCGCGGTCTAGTTCATTGCCTTGTGCAACTGGAGAGAATTAAGCATTGTGCGTGGCCTGGCTGACTCCTTTCTTGTGCTTTGCTATGGACTTGACCAACTGATTGCTTTGGATGATTGGCTTTTCAGGCTTTTCGCCAGCAAGTTTCCTGTGCTGTGAGCTCTTGGCAAGCCCATGATCTGCCACGGCTACGGTCTCAAACTTCTCAAAATGTCTCAAAGCAAACAAAAAATAACAAAAAAACAGAGATTAAAAAAGGGGCATCCAGAGCAGGCTCGACTAACAAACCATTTGAGACCGTGTCACAGAATAAAAGTTGAATTTGCGAGGACCTGCTTCGAATCATGAAGAATCTCATGAAGTGTCGGTCAAAATAAGCTAAACATTGCCAAACTATGCCAAACTATGAAATCTATGAAAGTTGTCAAATATAATATATATATACATAATTATTTGAAATATGATGAAATCTTTAAGCCAAGATTAGCCAAGATTAGCCAAGATTAGCCAAGATTAGCCAAGTGTCTCCTGTTCCTTGTCCAACTTCCTGGCGCGCACTTGGTATCGTGCCTTTTCCTTGGCATCCAATGCCTTCCAGGCTGCAGTGCTTCGGCCACCCTCCCGCAGGAACAAGTTGAAGGCATTTTGTCTTCCTCGAGACCATTGGATACTTAGTCGGCTATAATGGGACATATAATGGTGTATATAGTTTGAGCATGTTGAGGATGCTTCAGGTGAGCAAAGACCTTTAAAAGGCCTTAAAAAGACCTGGAAAATGTATGAACATGTATGAAGAGTAAAACTGCTCTGAGTTTCTTTTGTAGGTCTTCAACTTTTTTGACCAAGTCGGTGGTTCGTCTCCGCCACTGGGCAGGCGAATGGAGTCTGCCTTGGCCTTGATCTCAACCTTTTTCACCGAGGGCACTGCCTGGCCCTTCCTCAATGTGTTGAGTGCAACGTCAATTTTGACTCTTTAGCGTTCTTTAACATGCTTTAACCCTTTGTCCAACTTGCAGCTTAAAAATGGAAAACTGTACCAAACAATCTTATGTAAGCAAGCTTGAACGCGTGTTGCTCACTTGACGGTCCCTTCTTGTGCACATGCAAATGTGTTCGTGGGAAAGCACAATCCGAGCGAGATTTACACTCAGTAGGCAACCCTTTCTGGGGTCCAAACACAAAAACATGCAGGCACATGAAAGTGGATGGAACAAATCAGACGTGATTCTTGCGGATCCGTTGCTGCGTCGCTTCCATCCGAACCTCGAGCTTGGTAGGGAGCTCTGCCACGACGACAAAGGCGTCTGCAGCGACTTTTGACACTATGCCAGGCAGCCACACTGCTTTCCTTAGACACTATCAGAATAAGAGGAACGACAACCACAACATGAAACAACACTCTTCCCTTGCTTGCAGTCATTGCCTGCAATGGTGTGTTACAAGTACTTGCCATAGGTTGCAACAGTCATTCCAACAAAGACCAACACCATCCAATAAGACTTACAGGTATGCGGCAACTGAAACAAAGAAGGACATAGAAAGGACAAAGAAAAGACATAGAAAGACATAGAAAGGAAATAGAAAGGACATAGACAGGACATAAACAGATATGTCTAAAAAGGACATATCGGAAGACGAGCTTCTCCTCACACCAAACTTGACATGGATCTCCGACACTGTAGGTAGTTTTTTCATCTCCGTCCAGTGACCCTTTGCCACCTGTATCTCCAAGCATGTTGCCAGCAATTGAATTTCGTTCCCAAACGACAGAACTGCCCGAATCCACCCAAATGCCAAAATGCCCATTGTCAGCCAAAGTGCAGCCTGTGAGAATATTTGGGCCATTGCGTGCGTCGTGGACATTTTAGTCATAGTTCACTCATGACACAACTTTCAGAATGGTTCTGATTAGTAGGTCGCAGGAAGCTACTTAGTGCTGTTTTTGGATCTACAGTGCAGGCCTATGCCAGTTCTGACATTGAAACCAAGACAGTTCCGAAGCTGACTTGCGCTCTACAAAAACCTATGCTTGAATTGAATGTATTGTACTTGAATATATATTGTATATACATATTATACTTAATTATATATAATAATTATATAATTATATACTATGACTTGATTGATATAATTCTGCTATTCCAGCATTTTCACCCCTGGCCTTTAATACTGGTCTCGCCAGGTTTGCCATCCACCAGAATTCCACTCAACGTATTCTGGGCCATGCGGCTGTCAGCAATACACAATCGCTTGCTTGAGGTCGAATGGACACCTTCTCCCTCACACTCCATGACCTCACATTCTTGCATGACGAGTTCCTCGCAATCGCATGCAGAAACTCCAAACGAACTGGATTTGTGTATCCGAGTTCGGGTCAGCTGAGCACGTGCATTGGGGCACAGCTTCAATCCAGCTCCTTCAAAATGACAATCGATGAGCTCTACTCGAGCCCCGTTTCGACATTCCACGAGGCTCTCTGCACCTGTAGATGTTCCTTTGAATTTTAAGCAAACGTGCCGCAAAGTCAGAGTGGTGTTCTCTCCAATCACAACAATACCTGGTAGTTGGAGGACCGGAGGAAGAAGAGAACCTGGAGAAGCTTCGAGGAGGATACTGGAAGTCACCGCGAGCCTCTGCTTTTGTGACAGTTCGCCTCGAGGAAGTTGCACGGTTTGTTGTCCACTCCGTCCCGCATCTGCAATCAATTTTGTGATAGGCAAATCTGGAGGAGGAGGCGGAGGAGCGGGCTTTTTAGCTCGCACAATCTGCTTGTGCTCTCCTGATGCCTTGCTTTTCTTGGCTTTGGGTTTTGGCTTCTTCACAGTCGCTTTCATGGCACAGAGGGAAACAGGTGTTGAGTCTTGCAAGTATGAATATTTTTGGATAGGTTGTACTGCTTGAGGATTGCACCGATGTTTGCAGCAAAGCATTTATCTATAAGTACTTCATAGATCTTTATAGAATCATATACGGCAGAATTTGCGGTTTTCTTGCCATTAAGCTGTCAAGTTCCAAACGCTCTGAACAACATGCAAACGTCTTGAACTGAAAGCAGCTTGGCATGAAACTTCATACAAGTTTCGCAGGAAGACGCGCTTGGAGACATATCAGGGCAAAGGCTCAAGCTGGGGAACAACGGGAACAACTCTCAATATTCAGGGCAACACAGTTTCATAAGTGGAAACCATCTCATGAGACTCTTGCCTCCAAACGACTGCCCCATGACGGATGTGCAGTTTGTGGTCCTTTGGTTGGAAGCATTCGAAAGCATCAAATAGATGACATCAAGAACATGCATGCGTTTGCTGGAGATTTTAAGCACAGGTGTGGATGATTTATTGATGTGCTGCCACTTTTTCAAGCGAACACACAAAACCTGTGTGAGATGAGCTGAGGCATGAGGCCAGGTCCGCTTTCCAAGCTGGCTGGGCTGATTATCATTCGATCCTGCGAAAGATACTCGGCTTCGGATGTCGATTTGCACCACGTCGTGTACGTACTGAAAGAACATGAAACAACGAAGGCTTGAGTGCAAACTGAGTGCAAACAGCAAACTGATTTCAAACAGGTTCAAATGATGGCTGCAACTTACACCAACTTATCCCCATTATACTCCAGAGTCGTGGGGCTTAGGATAGTCACAAGATGTCACAACACCGACATAATCAATGATTATGTCCATCTAATCCCTGTCCTCAGCTTCGGAGAGATACAGCGCAAGGTCTGAACTGCGCTCAGCCCACGGGACGGAAATTTCCTCGGAGTGCTACGAGATGCTACGAGTTCATTGGCAAGAGTTTTGATGGATTTGCAGCACGCAGCAAAGACTTTCTGGGAACAAAGTTTTCAAGGTTCAAGTTGTTTCAAGTATGTTCAAGTCATCACCAACGACCCAAGGCGTGGGCAATTTCACTAGCAGGCAGATGTGGTCTGCAAGATTCCTGATACTGTTTGGCAGGATCACATCCACATTTGCGTTTGGCCCCGCGAAAAAATGACGTTTGAAGTTGATCATTTGAACTCAACGCCTATCAGTTTTTTTAACCGCACGTTCACAAGGACCTATCATGTCATCCACATCTACCATCTCTGCCGCAACTTCTCCTGCACCAGAGCAGACATCGCCTCGAAGTAGCTGGAATGCGCGGCAGTTCCCAAGTGTTTCTGGCAGAGTGAAACGTACTGCGATAAGATGCGATAAGCGTCAAAGAATTTGCCATCACATCGCATAGCTTCGGAATCCTCATGCCCGTTGATCATGACGATCCTATCTCCAGGGATTTCTCTGACTTCCCCGGGGCACTGCTTGTTCCACGCTTCAATGGCCCCACCAGGCAGAATCTTTTCAACAAACCATCTTCCCATTTAAATATAATATATATATATAAATATATATTTAAATTGTGAACTGACCGGAACGGCGTCGGCCAAGCGAAGCATCGAAAATGTTGCTGCCGGATTGGAGGACCCAGCTGCTTCGGCTGTGGGCGAAGGTTCAGTTTCAGATCCAGTTCCTCCAGAGCCAGCAACTTGCCAAAACACGACAAAATCATTGTAGTGCGATGTAGTAGTGCGCATGTGCTTCTCTTCACTGCCCTTTCAGCAACTCCAAGCACTTTCAACATCTTTCAACTCTCTTTCCAACATCCTTTTCATCTCTCCCCTCTCACCCGGTGGCGAGTCAACCAAGAGATCATTGGCAACAATGCGCGTTGCGAGCAAGCGGGATCGGGTACAGATAGGGTTAGATACTTTATGTACATATCTCCTTAATTTCGAAATTCTGCCTCGTTAATTCGGGGGTGACATCGTAACGTCGACTTAAATCGTACAGTACAGACGTCATGATGTTCTTCCTCACTGCAGAAGGTTGTTTCTGCATCCGTGTTCTCAAAGTTCCACAGGCTGTTTGACAGTGTAGGGTCGCAATGCGGCATCATTGCCTCCAAGTGTGTGAGCACCACAGTTTCTCGCTCAAGATTTCGGTGTGTCTCGGTGCAAGCAGCCAGCTGGCTCCGGAGTTGTTCAGTTGTTGCGGCGTGCTGCTGCTGCGCTGCTGCATAGACCGGACTGCTGTCTGCCCACACTTCCAGAGAATCTCTACCGCTTCTTGGGTCTTTTGATTCACATCTCTTTGCATGCTTCATCATGCTTCTGTGACTTGCTTTATCAACTCCGCCTTCAGTTTCTCAGCTGGATCTAGGCTTGTCGCACCTGCATCAGAACATTGGCAGCGGCTTGTCTCGAATCCAGGCACTTGAACCTGCGACTCTAAAATCCGCAGACTTTTTCTACCTTGGCCGTACAATGCCGTACAAATGTAAAGGCTTGAGCCAATGCAGCATGGCTGGCAGGCCTCTAGGACGATCCGAGAATGACCAAACTGTGGGTCACTTGGTCCATCTTGGTACTCCAATTTTGAGGCAAATCCACTTGACAAACAAAAAGGAAATGAAGCCAGGCAGGAAATCAAACCCAACCGCCTGATGGCCCAACCATCTCGAGACAGCAGCCGACTGAGTCTGATGGTGTCTTCAAGGTGAGTAGATACCGTTTTTTTCGTGCAAATTAAGTTTATTGGACCCGCCTCCAGTGAGGCAGATTCGCCAAGGCAAACGTAGCAGTGGAGAAAAATCTGTCCAGAAACTTTTGGGAAGCTTGTTGTTGTGCAAATCACACATTGCATTTCTGTTCACCACTTTTCTGCTTCACAGAGTCTAAGGCTTTGAAGCCAAATATATTATCTCACTGCTCAGGTTTCGGATGATTCAATCTCGCCTCGTCGTCAAGGTCTGGAATGGGCACAGGCGTCCCTGCAGCCTGACGCCAGCCTGTTGCATGTGCAGCTCTGAGTCAAAATCAAGAACAAGGTAGAATACGCACATGGAAGCACTAGATAAGAGTTTGCGTTCCCAACATGTGTGACTCTGTGTATGTGTGTGAACTAATTAATGTGTTATCAGTACTGGTGCCTGTTGCATTCTCATTATGTCGCCCTCAAGAGAAAGGAACACTTTTTGGTCAATTAAGGACTCTTCATGTCTTATATGCCCGCGTGAGTAGCCTGGAAGTTTGCGTGCTCGGCTTCTGACTAGCGCTTCGTTGTTGGATACCTAAGTTTGAGTGGACTTATGTGGACTTATGTGGACTTCTTACTAATCCTTAATTACTACAGGAATTGCTTCAAACAAGTTGCGCTCACCACTTGGCTGGCCTGATTTCCCTTCTAGATTAAGCCCTGAGGATGAAGCACACAGGAAAAGGCCGCCTGGAGCGAGCAGTCGACATGCCTGCAGCAAATCAACAAATGGCTTCAATACAACACCTATAGGACCTAGATCACTTGAAATGCACAGTGACATGACTGCTATCTTCACTTTTGGATAACGTGTATACGTACATTGTGTATAAATGATTATAATATTATATATAATCTCGCAGGGACTTTTCACAACATGTTGCTTCCTTTCATAGGTATTGTATACTGTATATACTTTATGAAATGGGTATGTGCTCATTGTTTGAATCAAACAGCGAGTATTTATGCATATTTACCGTTGGAAGAAAAAAAACACTACCTCACCGAAATTAGTGGTGATATTGTCAAGAAAACTGATTGTCTTCAAAGGAATCTACCCATTCAAAAAGGAATGCCCCTGTGCTTTTAAAGAAAAGCTTCATCTGTTTGAAAAGCGTGTTCTTGTCAATTAGAATTACTTCTTCACGAGAAAGATGCATGTTTGATCAGCTTTTGTAATATAATAATGTACAGTGTTTTCACTGCCTTTTTCAGGCTTGGGGAAATGGCCAAAAGTTGAGACTCTGTACATAGGGGTTAGATCACTCCTACCTACTTGAGGAAGATTTTCCCAAGGAGGGGTTGCAAACGATTGCAAACACTCCAAACGAAGAGATTGGGGTTCAACATTGAAGATTCAAGATTGCAAAAGATAACTTGTTGAATCCAAACCCCTGGGTTCAAGATCCAAGGTTAATGCGGATTCAAGATTTTTTGTCCAGTCCAATCTTGAATCCAAGATAATCCAACCGATTGCAATCGTTTGCTAGAAGGGATTAGCAGGGTAGGTCTTGGAAGGGTACCACACAGTGTGTCCAGATTCTTGAGGCCAACAGCCAAAGGGATGCACCCCAGCTTGGGGAACCCTTGATGCCTCCAGAAGCATCTTGCTCGAGTCCTCCGGTTTGAGTGCATCAAAGCAACCTTTATCGATGACCTAGGCAGAAATCGACCAGGTCATTAGTTTGCCTACTCGTGCTAAGCATGACTCAGATATACTCAGATGATGCCCGTCTGCTCTGGTTGGCTATTCATGCTATTCGTTGCATGCCAAGCGTCGGGCTGCGTCGAAAATCCCGCTTCGGAAGGGAATAGTCCTTCAAGCCAAAAAGGACTCAGTGCAAAAGGGGAAACGGATGGAAACAGTGGATTGCTCCATTCTTCTCCCTTCTGGTGGCTTTAATGATTGGAGATCGCAGGAACTGCATTGTTGATATTGTTGTGTATATCTGCCTTGCAGTGATTCGAGTCCAAGAAACCTGAAGGTGCAACTGCGTGATGTCCACACTGTCTGAAGGGTCTACAGACGTCTACAGTCCAAATGTCCTGACATCCAATGCCGCAAATTCCATTGGACCAATCAAGGATGGGTCTGCGGCCTCAGACAACCAGCTCCCTGGTTGTACTACGATGTACTACGATGTACTACGTATGGTTGAAGGTGCAAAATCTTCGGTTGGTTGTGGTTGTGCTGTTGGTACTCATCACATGTGACCGGCGGCATTGAGGATCCAACCATCCTTATCGCTGTCGGTGAAAAATCAGCAGCAATGGCTGAAAAGCCTGCCTGAAGCCATTACATGTGGTACTCTGTTGCAAAGGTCTACCTCTCTCTCCTCTCTCCCCTCCCACTGGTTCTCTCTCTCTCTCTCTTTCTCTTTCTATCGATTTTTCCCTATTAAATATGATATTCATTGATATACAGCTGTCCATCTTATCAATATCTGTATATAAGTTTCTGCTGCTGCTTGATTTCACACGCCTCAGCGAGGCCGGGCACCAACGAGGAGTGACCACCTGAGTGAACTTGGATTCACACTCTAAGTGAATGTAAATGATACAACACTGATAGACTGTGAATGACATGTAATTGAACATATTGAACAAGAGTAAAGTAATGTAAAGTAGATTAAACATCAGTACGTACATTAAACATCATTCAACATGAAGATCACACAACATATCATCAAATTATAGAATAGACGTATTCATTACCTCTCTGCATGATCCTCTCGTGCTGAGACAAGGACAGCCCAGCTCCAGGACCTGCCCGGGCGGTCGCAAAGCGAAGGCTCCGAGGAGGCCTGATGAACATCCGATGGAAAGATATCTGGAAAAAATGATGGAATATGTGTGAAGCAGTGGGAACCACTAAGCGAATATGATTGAATATGGTGGAATCATGCACTATACACGACTATATATACTACTAATACTAACTATATACCATGACATGGACCGTGAAAAACCCATGGGAAATCACACAGGGGGCCTCCATCGAAGAGGTGTGGCTTCAACACATCCCAGCTCATGTACCACTCCGTGGAGCCCTCAGGGGGATGTCAACATCGAAATGAACTGCTGTTCCTTTACTAACTATTGACATATATTGAAATATATCTAGAACTATTGAAATCAATTTGATATACGGACATATATTTCAAATCATTTCAATCTCTCCATAATATCTGTCCAAAATATTCCAAAATCATCAAAATCTACCCAATATGATATCCACTGATCAGATTCCTTGGATCTGAGTGACCAGGCTGATACTGATACGATGTTCGCACATCCCTGCTAGATTTTTTGTTCCACGCCTCTGGTCGATTCACATCTGCTTGGTAGCGCCTACAGGGCAACAACATCTTCAAGACATGCAGAGTGAGGATTTGGAAGATGAGTTGACATCTGTGTGCATCTCGTACAAGATACATCAAGTCCAAAATCGGCAAAAGAGTTGCAAATTGAGGACTGTTCCTTTCCCAATAGTCTTGTTCTGCGTACTTTGGCAGGCCTCAGGCAGAGTTTCTAGTTGCCCAACGGATTCAAGTCATTCGAGTCTGAACTGCAACAAAAAATATGGTGCCTGATGTAATAAAGCTGCTCAGTTTGGCCATCAAAACAGGTATCTAAGGCGTAATTAGGCGATACCAACCACACAAACACACACACACAATGTCCCAACATGTCCAAATTTTGCCTGACGCCATGGTAAGGAGGTGATGCCATCATCAACCGTTTTCCGCGATTTGCAGCATCATTCATGACTTGTGAGTCTGTCTATTGACCATTTTGACCAGTGGTCAGCTTGCACCAAAGTAGTTCAGTATTCCTATTGTGAAAGACCAGTCGCCTGTTTGAACTGTCATAGTGTCATACAGACGAAACCTGAAAACAAATGTCAAGCAAAATCGGGTATCTGATGCCCTCTAATTAAAAAACATGCGAGATAAATGAATTCATCCACAAAAGAAGTGCAATAGTTTTTTTGGTCTTATGAAACCTGTGGAAGTTTCTCAAAATACAATCCGAATGTGCAGTTGTTTGAGATGCTGAGATGTTTTGCTTTTGGAGCCCAGAATCGCGTCCGCACCACTGGACAATGTTGACCTCTTGGGTATGTCCCATTATGTGACATTATGACATTATGATAATGATGATACATTAATAGTGCACAGTACGATCATTATTAACGGTGGTATCTCCACATTAATGATACAATGGTGAAGGGATATTAATCATAGTGGAGGGTCTATTAATATTATGATCCCTGTACTATCATCATGTCCCCACACGTTTCTGTGGAGGGTCTGCTCTCGCGCAACTTTTGGCCCTCAATGTGTGCCAGTTCATCAAGCACCTTCGGCAAAGGATGGCAGGAGTTTCGAGCAAGAAACAGCTCCGAACAAACATGAAATCACAGGACATGAAAACAACAATGAACCATAATGAAAATTAATGTTTATCAATATAAATATTATTGAAATAATAATAATAATAAATAATATACATTGACAATCATTGATATATTTATGATATGGGCATAAAGACAAAATTGTCTGTCCGTACGGGTTTGGCCGTTTCTTTTTGTCCGTTACTTGTTTTTTCAAGTATGGCCATGTCCGGCTGCAATCCCTCTACTTACAGGTCAATCGCTTTCCTGAAACCATGGATTAGGCGGACTGGTTCCGGCAGTTTGAGTGTCTCGTCTAGAGCCAGTATTTGGAGCAGTAGGTTGAAATGTGGTTATATATATGATGGTTACAATTTTTCCACAACAGCGTAAGCTAATGGTGTCTTCAGCCCAGAATAGCTCCGGTGTGCACTGGTGCAGGCGCCGGGTCAGGTTCAACGAGGCTCCAGAGAAGGTTCCGGAGAATTCCGTTGAAGGTCTGGGAGGCTTTGGTGCAGAGCCAGGTCAAATTCAACATGGTTCCGGCGCCGGAGAAGGTTCCGGAGAAGGTTCCAAGAAGCCTTGGTGCAAAGCCAAGTCAAGTTCAAAAGGGTTCCGGAGAAGGTTCCGGAGAAGGTTCCGGAGAAGGTCGGGGAGGCTTTGGTGCAGAGCCAGGTCAAGTTCAACGAGAAACTGTGGGAGGCTTTGGTGCAGAGCACAGGGAGGTTCCGGACAAGGTCTGGGAGGCTTTGGTGCAGAGCTAGGTCAGGTTCAACAGGGTTCCGGAGAAGGTTCCGGAGATGTTCCGGAGAAGGTCTGGGAGGCTTTGGTGCAGAGCCAGGTCAGGTTCAACAGGATTTGCGGCCATTTAATTCACGGAAACCCAGCTGAGGTGTTTCCAGCACCTGGCTTCGCAGCACGCTTCAGAAAGAATTGTAAAAATAAACGTTGCGGCTGTTGGGGATACCACCGAAGCTTATTTCAACATGATGTTGAAAGAATACTAGTATTTTATGGGTACACCCAAATTTGGTGGCAAATATGGAAGTATATGCAGATTTGGGCACCCTATCATGACTCCCAATCTGCTCCATTTTGGGCTGAAGTCACTCTTTCGGAGGCTGTCGGAGGCTCGGAGGATGTCGGAACCCGGGGCTGTCATACCATTTGAACAACCACTTACGCATTTGAATCAAAAAACCCAAATACGCATTTGAACCAAAAAAAAACGTCCGTTACGGGTAAAACCCATAATGGACAAAAAACCTTGTCCGTACGGGTTGTTGGGTACAGATTAATCATGTCTGTGCCTCTGCTGTGAACCTGATACATTCACAAAAAACTTACAACAGCACCGGCCCCCAGGCCTGCTGCATGTTGCCGCCAAAGATGCTTCGACCCACATTTCCAGGGCCTTCTGCTCTTGGTGAGGATCCAAGCAAATCAGCGCTTGGCGTCCTGTACGAACTTTGGCTGGCAAAAGGTACATTATGGTACATTCTTTGAAAGATGAACCGTCAGCTAAATCCAGAATTTCTTGCGTAACGAATGATCTCACAACTTTGGAACAGTTGAGCGATGGGCCTCACATGAGCATTGAGATTTGTGAAACTGTTTCGGCGTGTTTTCCGCCCCTGGCGGGAAACTTCCTCAGCAAAATTTTGGACAAGAACGAAATTCATCCAAACAACAATGCGATGAGGTCAAGGAAAGGGATACACATTGAATGACAGTCAAGCAAATCAATCCCTAAGTCCCAAACCTCTGCGCGAGTGAGGCTGCGAGTTTGAATAACAGGCTGCGGAGACTCCTCTCCAGTTGGCTTGAAGAAACGTCAAACCGTACTTATGAGAAGGATCACATCGCAACAAAGAAGGAACAACAAGAAGGAAAAACATGGAAAACCTGTACAACTGAAACATTAGTCAAACTGTCCTGAGCGACAACCGGGGTTGCAGCGGTCAAATCCATGTACCACCTCGTGCGAAAGGCGCTTTGGTTTTGATATGTTATTTGGGAAACAATACCTTTTACCCATCCACTATCTATCATCCAAGACTGGCCTCGGAAGGCCCAAATCATCAGCGTTGGCTTTGTCAGGAGGTTCGTGAGGGAAAATGTAAATCCTGGGCGCAGCAGCACGGCCAAAAATGATGTTGTATACCAGTGTGCGAAAACCACCTAGATCGAATGAACAGATCTGACAGGATCGTGTTTAGCAGTTTGGCATCATTCATTGCATTGCATTGTAGACTTGGTCATCAAGTCATCATATTTCGATATATTTCGTCTACTTTACACGCTCAAGTTCTGACGAAAAAAGGCGGCCAGCAATTCAAACAACGCAAGAAGTGGCTAACGGCTAAGAACCTTTTGAATGGCAGAAATGGTATGTAGCGTTATATCCGCCGATCCTTGCCTAGCGTTGGCCTAGGCGGGGTGGTCGCCCAACTGGGGCTGGGGAGCTTGCGCTGGGGCGGGCCTTGTAACTGCCGTTCGGAACTCTGCCGCAGCAAATGTAGGCCAGCAGTGCCCAGATCATCTATCTCTTAGGGGTTTCGAAACTGCCGTTTGCGACCTTTGGTTCTACAGGGGCCAACCGGCCCAACCTTGCAAAGCATTCGAATCTGCTGATAGGCACTCTGCCCAGGCCACAGTGGGTGATATCGTAGATAATAAATGGAACAAGTCGGGGGTTAGTGGGGGAATGGAGATACGGTGAGGATATATGCGGATACAGTGGGCACCTAATGACGGAATCCTGGATCATATCCAAGCAAGCCTCAAAGTGAATCTTTCAGCAGTTTCAAAACTGCCGTTGGCTACCTTTCGGTTCTGCGGGGCCCAATCCCAAGCTTCGAAGTAAAGCCTCCTAAGACTGCGAAGATATTATTTGCCAAAAAGATTCATTGACCCGTCTTGTGATTTTAAATTTTATGGATGGGTCCTGGGGTGGTTTGCTGAATTCTACGGCCTACCTCGCACATCAAGACCCCAAAACAGGTGGGATCCGGGGTGGGAAAAAACGACGATAAAGTTACAAGATGCTTTTTGGAGGTCATTTTGGGCATTTTTTGGCCGATGTTTGCTGTTTTTCTGGTGCGTGCCAAGAGCCAAAACACTGTAATTTACAGTGTTGTTTGTGCTTTTGGCATGGAAGAAATACTTCTTTCAACATGCTGAAAACTGCGTAAATACCAATGTTCTTGCTAGGCACTAGCCAAAAAACACTGTAAATGCCGTGATTTTTGCTATCAGAAACCAAAAACATCGTAAATACCGTGGTTTTGGGTTTCCGAGGCACATAAGACATCGGTATTTACTGTGTTTTTTTCTCCGAGAGTTCAAAAAAACACGAAAACACCGCCTATTTGATGATTTTCGGCCACTATGAGACTGAGAAAAAAACTGCAGGGGTAACAACAACAACAACAACAACCACAACAACAACCACAACCACCAACCACCAACCACCAACCACCAACCACCAACCACCAACCACCAACCACCAACCACCAACAACCAACAACCAACAACCAACAACCAACAAACACAACAACAACCAACCAACAACCACAACAACCAACCAACAACCACAACAACCACAACAACAACCAACCAACAACCACAACAACCACAACAACCACAACAACCACAACAACCACAACAACCATAACAACCACAACAACCACAACAACCACAACAACCACAACAACCACAAAAACCACAACAACCACAACAACCACAACAACCACAACAACCACAACAACCACAACAACCACAACAACCACAACAACCACACCAACCAACCAACCAACCAACCAACCAACCAACCAAACAAACCACAACAACCAAACCACACCAACCAAACCACACCCACCAACCAACCAACCAACCACAACCACAACCACAACCACAACCACAACAACAACAACAACAACAACAACAACAACAAGACCAAGAACAAGAACAAGAAGAACAAGCACAAAAATGCGACAAAAAGATGTGTGGTAAGATGATTTCAAGCTGCGGTATGAAAAGAAGATCACAGTGTGATCTGCACCTGCGCGCACGCGCAGAACGCATGAACAATACCAACGCTCACACTACTATACATAACCCTCATAGCATCGCCGGTGTGCAAAGCTCTACAATATATTCTATATACTGTAATTACATGTAATTAATTACATAGCAAATTATAGTAAAATACGTCGTCAATCCGTGACAGTAAATTTGATGAACATCGCAGCAGCTCGGCCCTTCCAGGGGTAGCACCACAGCAAGTCCAAATTAACGCCAGCCTTGTTTGGCATTGCAAAGTGTAGGTTTCAAGGTACAGGGCAGATGGCATAACAATACATGAAAACTCACTAATCCTCTTGATTGCTCTTGGCTTCTACATCTTGATTTGAGAGGCTGTACGTTGGCAACATTCCATCAGCTCATGACAGACTGTGCTCCAACTCTGCCCGCTCAAATTTGACTGGATCATACTGGATCCAAGTATCTGACGGCAGAAGCGCTCTGCCTGACCGAGATGCCGTGCCACAGTTTGAACGAAGTGATGTAAAAGATTATAAAGAAATGTAACATGTGTAATTATATACAATATACATATATATATAATTACAGTACATTAATATGAACATCGTACTAGTACCGTCTCAGAATCAAATGTGTCAAGTTTGTTCAAGCAATCTCTTGGATTTGGTCTCGCAGTGCGCAGGAAGTGACTAGTCGCTCAGATTTCCGAAGATATGAGCAATTATTGCGGCATTCCAAAATATTCCAAACATCCCTGAGCCCCAAAACTGTGAGGACGAAAGTTGACATTGCAAAGGAGAAAAGTATGGGCTTAAAATACGGCCTAAGAGAACATATTCTCATGTGTTTAGGACTTTTCCCCGTCCACATTCAACAAAGATTTGGATTCGTTCACAAGCCGATGTGTGCATTGATTGTGTGCCAGAGCAAAAATCCTCCGCAGTTGATTTGAACAGATGGGATCCATACAGTTGGAGACTACATTGAAGGGCTGAAGATGCAAACATAATATACATAATTAAAATTAATCAAACATATTCAAACGTATTGAGACTGATCTTTACAAAACATTTCTGACTTCACCGGCATTAGCATTGCTGCTGTGCAAGCTTCCCTTCAACCCGGTGGACTTCGCATGGCGCCTGGTGCTTTCCTTCTCGGTGCTCTGTGCTGGGCCTAAGGGATCCACATGGGATCTCTTCCGATGCCTTTTGGAACGGAATGGATGTGCTCTATGTGCTCTTTACATCTCTTTACATCTCTTTACATCTCTTTACATCTCTTTACACCCTCTTTACAGTTGTAAAAGTCTTGTCATCTCTTTGAACTCTGATAAAGTCACCGACCAGAAGGTGTGGCGACACTCCTGCAAGGGCCAAGCAATCTTTCATCATCTTTCATGCCCTCCAAGATCTCCAAAAATTAGACTTGGAATGTTGTGTTTTTTGACATTGTAGCTCTTTCATTCACTCTCATATTTGTTTACTCTTTTGTACTCGCTGCTGGGCGGGTCGATGTTAGCTTTGAGCTTTGTGATCATAGCAGCGCTCTACAACTTGAAGGTGCAAATCCGTGCAAAGTGGAAACAGCGATAAACAGCGGCTCTTGCCTGTTCTGCAGCTCTTGTCTGTTCTTCGACCCTGCCCTGGAGCTCGCTTTTGCTCCCGCCCTCAACATCAAAACACTCGCTCTGTTCAGGTATGTGAACATATACACGTTCAAATTCAAACAAACGCAAATGAAATCCAATGAATACACTATACTATACAAACACTATGTAACAATGTGAACCGTCCAAAGCTTCACCAACCAATTGGTGCTGAAAACGGTTCGACGACAATCGTTATTAATTATTTGATATCTGTTGTATGATTTGTATGTCAGTGTGCTCTTTTTCCACGAATTTGATTGTCACGCCTTGACGGTTGCCGCACCTCTCTTTTGGGGGTTTTCCTGGGCAACAAGCACAGGTAGTTCTAGCAATTTCTAGCATCTTACTTCTAGCCGAAAGGAAATGGATCTACGAATCCAGTTTGAAAGTGAGGTCAGCCGGTCATACACGTCATCTTTTTCAAGACTTTTACTGGCAGCATGCTCGTTTCCAAAGATTTGGTGAGTCAAACAATCGAAAGCAGTTCGGGACAAATATATACAAATATATCATACAAGCCGCAAAGATCTGCACAATTGAAACCAAGGCACAACCAGTCCCAAGGCCTGACTTGTTAGTCTGTTTGCTACAGGATGGAAGTGTAAGTTGATGTAAGATGAACCTGTTGGAGTGTGCTAGACTGCTAGGCTGTTGTTCAGCACCAGCACTCAGGCCTGTCCAATCTTGCCCCTGAGACCTTGCACATGAACTGAGCCGAGAGACAATCTAGGCAGATCTAGGCAGCCAAGTGTACAACATGCTTGGCTTCCTCACGTTGATGGCAATGCCTTGTGAAGAATCCGGAATATCTGGTCGATCCTGGACGCTTCGGCACCGCTCTGCACGCAAGCACTGGCTCAAAGAAATGCTAAAAATGCTAAAAGCTCAATGCAAAGAGTCACACAGCCATTTCGGTTTCCTTTCTTGTGCGGCTCTCATCAGCTCGCACCGAGGATGGGCTGTGCTTCAAAAACCTTGACACGGACAAGGACCACAGCTGGCTTTGCCATCAACTTCATAATCAGTTCTCCATATTCCTTAAAGGTCTCGAGTTGTCCATAAGCTACGAGAGGTTTCTTGGTGCCCGGCTCAATCAGCTTCTCTGCACGGTGATGGTGCCGTGGACAAATCCTCCAAGAAGGATAATTGCAAATCAACTGGGTGTTGGTTAGAATTTCTTGTATCGCGCACGGGACCGGACAGGGAGGACCCTTTCTCACCCCATTGTATCCCATTGTGGCATCTCGGACAGTTGGGCTTTTCGTATGTTTTCGTCACTCTATAACTTTAACATACTTTAACCATCTGCACTTTCATCAAAAGGTGGATCCTTGCTGGTTGTGCCAAACCAAAGGTGGAACATGGTTCAACCCCGCAAAGTCTGTGCAAGGTCCGTCTGAGTCTATGCTTGGTATCTTGCGAAACTGTATTCAGACCCTCTCAGTGGAGCTGAGCCATGCTGCAAACCTGGAGGATCCATTTAAAATTTTAAAAAACAAAGCATTCAATGAAACTGACCGAAACTGACCTTCACACACTAGACAAGAATGGATCATTATATGATCCGGCAGGAACTGAGTCCTGTAACATGCAATTAGATTAGTTACATAATTAAGGATGAATATATATATATATATATGGGACTATGGTGACCACCAGCTGCGTCTTAAATGCGCCCAGGTGCGTCACCACAGTCCCGCGGGTACGTTTGCACGGGTCCCGGGGAGGTGTCTTCGTTGATCACCGACCCCCCCGGGACCCCGGTGATCCCCCGCATATATATAAATATATAACAAGTAATGGAAGTTTTACATCTATACAGATGTGTCACACACACACCCTGCCTTTGGCAGGGTGGTGCGACGGAAAATGAGGTGAAGGTGAGGATGAGGGGGAAGTGAAGGTGAGATGACCATGAAGATGAGATGAAAAATACTTAACCAGGACGCGAAGAGGGGAACGCAAAAGAAGAAAGAGAGAACACCAACACAACACACCTGGCCCTGAGCGGGCAAACCCTGAAAGGGCAAGAAAAAAGAAAAGCGGAGGGTCGACGGACACGGAACAAGACCAGCGGAGGGGGGGGAAGGACGAAAGCGCCTGAACCAACCTGACACAGCGAGAACCTACAAACACCTAAGCACGCGACGGAGCCAACCTACCTGGGGAGGGAGGAACGCATGAGATAGGGGACCAATGGGGATTAGTTGGTGAAACCACAAAAATTAAAACAGGATTCAGTTCCTAAAACCTAGAAGTCGTGCGTTGTGCCACTCCAGGCCCGTGGTCAATTCTTGCCCCAATCGGCATATAACAGCTTCCAGGTTCCAACGAATTAGGTGCACAATATGTTTAACATCACGAGACAACCAAAAGAAAAAAGACCACACCTGAAAGACGTGTGCCTGCCTTTTCACAATGTCTTGAAATGATGTCGTGTAACTGCAAAGGTTGCTGCAAAAACCGAGGTTTCTGGCAGTTCGGAGCGGCTTCACTCAACAGAGATGCATTCCACTGGGTTCACAAAGGACAACCGGAAACGCGGGACTTCACAAAAAGGTGCAAAACCGCAAGGCCAGCTGTTGCACTTTACTTAAATGAATTACCATATTAAAATGTGTGAATTCGGAAGTCAGGTCAGTCGACATTGACCCCAACTGGGGTTGCCTCAATTGGCCCTATGGCACCATGTCGGAGTCACCATAGGAATCACACTAGACAAGAATGGATCATTATATGATCCGGCAGGAACTGAGTCCTGTAACATGCAATTAGATTAGTTACTTAATTAAGGATGAATATATATATATATATATGGGACTATGGTGACCACCAGCTGCGTCTTAAATGCGCCCAGGTGCGTCACCACAGTCCCGCGGGTACGTTTGCACGGGTCCCGGGGAGGTGTCTTCGTTGATCACCGACCCCCCCGGGACCCCGGTGATCCCCCGCATATATATAAATATATAACAAGTAATGGAAGTTTTACATCTATACAGATGTGTCACACACACATAACACACGGCCCGGAGCATTTTCCGATGTTCTATAGATATATGATATATAATGATATATATATATAATTATATGATATATGATAAACATTGATAAACATTATATAAGATAATTGTCGGTGAAACCATTTGAAACAGGTGTTATCGCATCGTGAATTCAATGCTTAAAAAGGCCAGTTCCGAAAAAGCTGAGAAAATGGGTATAACAATGGCACAATACGGTTTTTAACTGGGTCGTGTCTTGTGATCCTCTTCGAATTGTCCCATGTTTCAACATGTTTCAACCCCTCCAATCCCTTTGGCCCCCTTCGGCCTGGCCATCTTTGGACCATATTTTGCCTGGCGTCGGACACGTTCCCTTCTGAACACGTCCAAAACGTCGAATGAGAATATGGCATAATGATGCTGCATAACGCATAAATATGCATAAAATATCCATACAGGCCAGTGATGCTGATGGCAAATCAATGAAACTCAGAGACTCTAAACATGATTTATTCATATCTATTCTCTATTCTAATCTGCCTGCCTTGATAGGATCCGCTGAGATTTGTGGTTGCGCCTGCAGTTGATTCAGATCATGTTCAAATCACAATCCGAATCCTTCTGAAACGACTTGGCTGGGCAAATGACATTTTCCTTACTAATTACCGTTCCTGTACTTATTAGGCAGAATCGCCTCGGCTTGGAAGAACGAGTCACAATATCTGCAAAGGCTCAGGCTTTGCCTCGGAAAGCTTCTGAGCGCGGGAGCCCAAATTCCAACCGGGTCTAAAAATCGAACCAAAAAAAACTCCTTCTCTCCAAGATCAGAACTTCCCGGATTGCAGTGAAGTCAGCGGTGCGTTTTGGTGGCCCGGCCTCGTCAGGAAAAACTGGTGCTGAATGGGCCTGAGGTATATGCTAACACCTGCTAACACACGCATCGTACTCTCCCTTCAAAAACCTTCAACACAAGTGTAGAGTTCTTTGCAGCTGAGGTACATCGTCCGACTTTGAGACCTCAATGTCTTCGCATGCACATTTCAACTCCGCGCAAGGCTTGCAACTCGTTGCGTCAGCTGAGACAAATCGCAACAGCAGCGAAGGGCTTGGTCTCAAAGCGATTGACTTTCCCGAGCTGAGGTTAGAACCTTTTTGGCGGGACAAATTGTGACTTGGGCCTGCACCGCAGAGAATGGTAGCAATGTTGTCCCACCCAAGTTGAATTTGTTGCTTTACAACTCGACAGCCACGTTTTGGAACTGGCAGGACGCTTTTCCATCAGACTGCACGGTGGCAACATGTGGCAACAAAAACGTCGCAAAACAATCTGGCTGCCAAACGTAGGTAGGATAGTCTTGCGTCATTTGCCGTCTGCAAATCCGACGGAATCTAAGGTATCCACACAGGGCTTACAGGATGTGCAACGGGAGCACCTTTGAAGACAGAAAAGTGGCAGCCAACATGCCAGCCCTTGAGTCTAAAGTTGAAACACATTTCTCAACCACATTTCTTCGCATCTCTTGACAACTTTCAAAGGTTCAGTCTATAGTTCAGTCAAACCTCTCACGGTTAAGCCGGTTAAGCCAAAAAATGCCCGTAGAGTACATGTCAGCCCCACCTCCCTGTGCTTGACTTGACTCTTGTACCTTAGGAATCAATGGCAAGTAAATTTCCAGAACATGGAATTCTGCAATTCCACAACAACGATTTCCACAATGCCATCCATATCTCTCTCTCTCTCTCTGGCTACAGACTGGGTTCTATGCCCTACAACCTGGGACTCCAACATTGACGGAATGCATGCTTGGAGCCGAGGGATCCTGACGCTTAAATCATGTTAAGATATGATAAGTGTATCAAGATGTTTTATGATGTTTTGACATTTAAGATTTGTTAAAATCTGTTAAGATGTCTTCCAGTGGGGAAAGGTCAGTCCTTGGAGTCTAGGCTCATCCTTTGAGCATTCATGGTCTTCCTGTCGAATTGATATCATCTGTCACAGCTGTGCTGAATTGCCACTCTGAAACAACAATTTCATATCAAAATATGCAAAATATGCAAAATATATCAAAATATGATCAAATCACCTGATTTGTACATCTTTTAAGGCTTGGACTCTCGCATCCTCCTGGCAACAGGATCAATAGGTATTGGCAGGAAAGAATATACAGGCCACGTAGCATCCGCGTAGTGCACTAGCTGCTACTGAGTTACTGTACTAGTTCCATAGTTTTCCTGCCTGAGCTTCGCCGAAAGTTTCTGCTCCTGTGTGTCTTGCCTCCAATAATCTCACATTAAGAAGTGCGAGCAAAGAATCCAACAGTCTCCACATGGTGTGAGGATCTTGGACGTTTATCTTGATGTTAGCGTTTTGATCGTGGTGCCATCAAGATCTTCTAAAGATCTGCAGAGAACGCTGGCCAGTAATCTGCTATATTAACTGGTGGAAGCATCCGGAGCCCCACCTGCTCTTACAAGTGCTCTTGTGCTTCTCATAATACTTGTCCAGCAAGGATCTCATGTCTGCATCAAGCAAGCAAATTAGACGTGCATCCATTCCATTTCCATGGATATCCATGGATATCATGGATCATCCGCTAGCCGCTAGCATTTCTGCAAAACCACCAAAGATCGAGATTTACAAGCACAAACATCGGAAATCGGCTTTTGTTTGTCTTTCTATATCTTTGTTTCTGCCTATTTCTACGACCACTGAACCCTCTCTTGGACAGCTCAATACGAATTCAATGTTATCAAAACATACTATGTGTTCCTCGTGACCACCGAGCATCACCTTTAAGGATCTTTAAGGACTGCCACAAATGTCCAGGTCCGTAATCCCTTCGGGCCTTTGAAGAGTGCTCTGGCAACTGCCGTTTGGCGTTGATGTAGGGGACTCCCGGGACTCCGGGATCTGTGGAGTGTGGATGGCTTGAATTTAGCTCACACAACAAATCAATAGAAACCCGTGCGAGCTTGCTCCTCATGACCTTGAAGTTGAGTGGCAAATATAGGCAATTTCAATCAATTTCAATTTCCCAATTGTAAAAGGCCTAGTAAAGGCCTAGTAAAGGCCTAGTAATGTCAATGTGTTTCTCAATGTGTTTCTCAATGTGTTTCTCAATGTGTTTCTCAATGTGTTTCTCAATGTGTTTCTCAATGTCTGACCAAACCCAGCCTTTTGACCTGGCGCTTCTTCATACTTTCTGGCAGTCGGTACCCCTCCTGGTGAAAAGGTCATGGAAGCAGCTGGAAACAAGTTCTTTTTGTTCTTTGCAATCCTTTGAATAATCCGTTGCAAAAAGATTTGCAGCTCATGTACCCCTTGTGGTGATGAGCACTTCAAGAATAGTGTTTCTTCCGGAGCTACGATACAGTCAAGATAAAGGAGGGAAAAATGTCGAGAACAAACATGCCACCAATGTGGTGACCACATCGCTCCCTCGACATTGCAGACTGGAGGCGATCTGCTCTTGCGCCTCTTAATTAGAAGATTAGAACAGGAGTTATCCCTCCATTCGTTTTTAGGGAATCCGCCTGCACCGAAGGTGCCGAGGCACCTTAGTTTAGGAGCGGAGCAGCTTCAGGTGAGGGGGGGATTTTCAGGATCGACCTATATCGACCTGCCACGTTCTCACTGTGATAACTTGCACCTTTTGCATCTCGGCCCAACACCGTCCAAATTCTTTGTTTCGATCCGACATTGCTGCAACATGGTCTCCACTTGGGGTCAACTTTGGCCAACACTCCGACTTCGGCCCAACTTGGCTCCAACATGCCGCCAATTAGGAACCAATTTCGGCCCAAGTTGGCCTGTCTTGGGCCCACACAGGCCCAAGTTGCGTATGTTAAACCCAACTTGTGCTCAAACCTGCCCAAGTTGCGCCACATGGGAGCACAGTTGGGATTAAGTTGGAGCCAACTGGCCTGAGTTAGGCCCAAGTTGGGCCCAAATTGGCTCGTGCTCAGGCCAAGGACGGCCAAGTTTGACCCCAGTGGGCTGCCACGAGCCCGCTTCTTTCCTGACTGTCCCATTCACTGGCAGACTGGGCGCGGGTGGTACTCGTCGCGAAGCGACTCGAATGTAGTGAAATCATGGGAAATCAAAACGCTATCAGCTGCTGCCAATTGACGCAGCAGTTCTCCAAAACGTGGCTCCTCAGACTCAATGCGAACGGGCTGGAAGATTGGCCGAAGCACCTGCTGAAAAACAATGAACAACGAATATCTGGTTGGTGGTTTCAACCCCTCTGAAAAATATTAGTCAGTTGGGATTATGAAATTCCCAATTTATGGAAAGTCATAAAATTCATGTTCCAAACCATAAGAAATCTTCGGAAATCGCCGGTGGCACGGACTCGTCGAACTGAGTGCCACGGATCACTTGATGTGAATCTGCGTACGCTCGGTATGCCTTGCATCTTGAAACCAGGCAAGATCGCAGTGAGGGAGTCCAAGGCAAACGGTTAAAATATGTTAAAATGAGCAAAGCTGACAATGGACCAGATTTCCTCCTTGATTGTCAGTGATACTTTTATCAATGCTCATGTTCAGTTTGCAAGTGATTCACGAACATGTTTTGCTGACCTTTTTTAGTCATTTCAGACTTCATCGCACAATTGTCATTTTGTATTTTCTGGTTGAAGCTCGGCCTCCTTGACCTTGGGTGATAAAGGTGGCGGGCCACGTTCCTCTTCGATGGATTTTTCCTCTGCGATGGGAACTGTTGATGCAGCCGGATTGAATCGGATTGAATCGGATTGAATCGGATTGAATCGGATTGAATGGGTATGCGGTATGCCCACTGCACCCACTGCACCCACTGCACCCACTGCACCCACTGCACCCACTGCACCCACTGCACCCACTGCACCCACTGCACTCTTCTTCCACTTGCTGAGCCCTGCACTTTCGACTTTGTCTCTGGCTTTGTGCGATTCTGCAATCACAATAGAAGAAAAGCCATCAACGTCAAGGAAACATAAGGAAACTATGAAGAAGCTAAAGTAGTGACATAGAACGCCCGAATCATCTTGACTTCGTGTCTCACATGCCTCAAACCTCCTCAAAGTGTGAATTTGACTGAGCTTTTGGGCCAAGGACCCGCCTTGTACACACCTGTGACCCTTAGCGGTCTTACTCCTGTGTTGACCTGCACTCATTTCAGATCATTTCAGCAACAGAATTGATGGAGTCGATGGAGCCAAGATGAACCAAAATAATTCATTCCAGCTATTCCAGCTATATAAATGTTCTCAAGCGCTGGCCTGGACGAAGGTGAACGTTGCCTCCACGTTTGCTAGCAGCTTCTCAAAGTAGGTGTATTTGTGCACCTTGTGAACCTGAAACATGTGTGAAACATGTGTCACGAGCGTGGGTGACAGATGTGACAAATCCATCATCAAATGTGTTGAGGTTTCTTCCCATCCCAAAACGAACTTCAGAAAGGAGTGACAGACCATATGTGTACATATTACAACTTTGATCAATTTTGTACGCATGTGTGTATCAATTCTATTATATGAGTTCATATTATGTATTGTTTAGATTGTATACAATAAAATATATCTATTTAATTCTATTTATGTATATCTTGACCACAGCAAATGTCGCTTCAACATGCTTCAACTCGCTGCTCCTCATGAATCCCACCTGCCGGAACCATTTTTGCAAATCAGGAGCAAGGTCCACTTGGTATTCGCCGCCCTGACGTTGTAAAACCACTTGCTGTGCTGTTGTGCAAACAAACGAAACAACCAGGATCAACAGGGGGTCTCCTTGCACATGAGTGGCGCCATGTTGTTCTTGTAGTTCTGCAGCGGTTCAACCCACCACTCCTTGGTGTCATCTCAAACGCAATTGATACGAATGAATCTTCATTGGAGCAAAGATCTGCAAAGCATTGAATGCTTTTACAGTTACATATTTTTTAACAATGTTTTCCAATCAAGATTCCAAAGTTTTCTACAGGATTCCAAGCCCTCAACTCCTGGGGTGTAGTCATCTTTCAAGATTTTGTGGTGAAGCCAATTGTCACCTCGGACACGGGCACGGCTCAACGGGTATGGCTGGATCAGTGGCGAAATGAGGCCTCTGCAGTCCAGTTTCTCCATTTGTGGATGCTTGGCTGGTTGGTAGAGGCCAAGAAAAAGGTTCAAGCAAGCCTGGTTCGAACGGTTCCATAGTGGTAGCAATCCGACAAAATCTCTGCGCATTGCTGATCTGAACATGTTGAACAATTAGAACGTTTGAAGCAAATGTCCCGTCAAATTCTTTCTGGCCCGGTTTCTAGAATCTTCTACCAGTATCTACCAGCTGCTTCGAGCTTGGATCAGCTTGGATCAGCTGCCTATCGGCTTCTGCCTGTTTCTCGCGGTCTGTAAAGGAGTTGTTGTAGTGTCTGTGGATGGAGGTCAGGAGCCTCACCAGGTCACTATCTTCACTCGATCTGCACCTCCAATCTCTGGTGACTGGTGCAGTCCGGGTGGTTGTGGTTGTCTTTGATGGATCCGTGCTTACCAAGGAGTGAAAACGCAAAAACCATGCTGTCTTATGCTGTCTTGACACATCTCTTGGCTCCCAGCTCTTGCGAGGTTGGTATCATTCGTGGTCGACTGCTACCCAAGAGCTGGCGGTCCGCTATGCCGCTATGCTCCACGGCAAGGTGGATCCAGTGCCGTGGAATTTTTCACGGATCAACGATATGCATGGTGTCAATATGTGTCAATACCCATAGGATCATATAGGATCCATGTATGGTATATATATATGGTAACATTGGGGGTATATTGATGGTAAATGTTACCATATATACCATACATGGATCCTATGGGATATGTGTCAATATGTGTCAATTATGTCAATTGGTGTCCGGCATTCCATGCATTCCATGCATTCCATTGCATTCCGGCATCTCACACTATGGGGCGAATTTGGGCTCGCAACAAAGATGTTGCCTTCAAAAAATCCCCCAATGGCTGGCCTAAAACCATCAAATCGCAGAAGACGAATGCATCCTGCCTGGTATTTCTTGTGCGCCACCGACCCAGCATACCTGGACCCGCGTCCAAGTCAATATATGTCAATATCAAAAGGAGAGGCCAGGTCAAACCGGTCAAACTGATGCAATTTCCAGCCACTTCTTGTGGCAAGGTTGGGTTCTTCACTTCTTCACTGGTGTGGTGTTAAGCATAGGACCCATGACATGCCCTATATAGCACTGCACAGGGGTCACTGCAGGGCGAGATGATCTCCCATGACGTCATAAAGTTCGCTGAGAACCAGCACAGCCTAAGCTGGGTTTCGCCACGTTTCGCCCCTGAGACTGTGGGGAGGTGTTCAAGAAATTGCCAGTTACTGGAGCTTAGCTCAGCTTACCGGAAATTTTATGGGCACGACATGGGAAAGGGATTGTCATGAATTGTCACTTGGCTGAAGTCATCCATATCCATCTGCTTTGATCTGCTTTGGTTATCACACAGAGTTGACGGCTCTTCAAACTTTCGGCAACTTTTTGACTGAGCTGTTCAGCACACAAATCTACACAATATTACACAATATGTACCTCTGAAACTGCCCCGGAGCATCACGCCTGGCATTCGAAGTCCATCTTCGGCTCTGGAAGCCAGCTCATTGCCTGGGTCAACTTGAGCCAACTTGGTACACCGCCATACAGCGTCCAACTCTGCTTGGAAGTAAAGAAAGAAATGTCAGAACTTTAAGTTTTGATATGTTTTGATGTCACAAGTGACTAAGATGAGCTTCACGGACCGAGCCAGTTTTGCTCGGCTTGACCCAAGCATCTCCTAATATCTCCCACCTACTAGATAGCATCTACATATATCTACATAGCATACCCGAGCATCGAATCTTCTTGGTTTCACTGCCTGTTCTCAGCCCGAAACTGTGAGCTGCTGCTTCAAGACTTCGAGGCCGACAAAAAACTGGAGCACCTGACCGTCGCCCAAAGCCAGCAGAAACTACTCCTATCTTCGGCATTGAGTTGTTTTCTGCTAAAGGCAATTAAATAAAAGGATAAATCAGATATGAAATTACTAGATCGGGATCATGCGCTAATCATATGTATACTCTGTATAATGATATATAATAATACATATATGCGTCATATGTATTATAGGGGTATATATACAATATATACAAATATTATATATATATATCAATATATATTATATATCATATGTATTCATATGTAGGAGTAATGTTGTAATAATGCGTCTGCTGCTGCCATGTTCGAGAGTTTGCTGAATTTGGACCGAAGCAAGTATGGACCTGTGATGACCTGTGCGCATTTTGGTTTGTTGCAGCGCCTGAGGCTAGCACATTGGTGCGATCTAGGCAGTCTACACAGTTTGTGCGGACAACCCCAGTTTGCAGCCTCGGTCTACACAGTTTGTCAGCGGAACTTCTGCTCAGAAACAGACTGTGCTGAGTTGATGATGTGTGATGACATATGGGAAAGCACTGTGGACGTCACTGCACCCTCTTTCCTTGGCATGGCGTTGCATCTGCCCATTTTTGACACACAGCGCAGCTATTGACTGAGTTTCGTCATGTTTCGTCGCTTAAAGCCAATTGTGTGGACAGAGGGAACTTGGAAAGCCGCTCTGTTGCTTGTGGTACTGATCCCAAGGCAAAGCACACACGTAATACCGTAATTTGCCCTTAATTTGCAAGCCGTGGCTACATCAAGTCCCTCAGACAAAGTGGGCTCTGGTTTCTACAAAAACTTTCAGAGCCCCGAATTGCTACCCCTCCTGTGGAAGCAGCTTCAAAACACTTGTACTTTGGCTTGCAAAACCCAGATAAGATTTGAGAAACTCGAAACTTATATAATAGATTTAATAGATCGACCTGCTGGAGAGATCAGAGTCAGATTGTGATCAAATTGCAGTATTTGTCGGACAAACAGGGAGGAACACCCAGAGGATCTTCTGTTTCTCCTGCTGCATGAGTGAAAAAGTTACCCCAATGCAGGACTGTTCACACTCTTCGAAGTACTTTCAAGCTCACTATACTGACGTCCGACACTACTGGTACCAGGCCGTCGTTTGTCCATTACAAGAATATGCCTAAGAACCCTCAAGAAATCCGCAGCTTCTTGATGCTTCTTGGGCAGAAAGGTTCAGCGATGTTCAGCAGTGCGGTTGCTTTGGGGGAAAGGAACTCGCTCATCACACTGCAAACTGATCCACCTCTCCAGCAAATCGATGCAAATCGACGTAACTAGCGTTGCGCCAGCATTTGCATCGCTTCTCGAGCTTTCGACCGGAGCTGCTCCGGAGAGTCAATCAGGGCAAGAAGCTCACTGTTGTCCATCCTCGGCGAAGAGAATCAGACACCTAGATTGGTTAAATTGAATTGTGAGGTGCAAACATTAAGGCGCTATCATACCATGGCATGCTTCCACTTATAGCCCGTCACCACCATGTCTGGATGCATCTCATGCATCCTGAATCCTGATTTTCGATGTGTGGTTTTCTGCTGCAATACCTATAGATCCTATAGGTAATATGTGCATAAACGTGAAGGAGCTTGTGGTGTACAGAGCATGCAAACGCCCTGAAAGCCTGCGCTATCCTTAGTCACCAGCCAAGCAACTGAAGGAGAATCAAAAAGAAGTCAATATCCAATATCTGAATATATCCAATATACGATACGCGAATAAGAATTATCAAAAATATACATCAATCTGACAATCTTAAGTTAGTATGTTACCTTTATATAAGTTTATTGAGTTGCTGAATCCACCAAGAATCTCCAGCATCATCCCTGTGATCCTCCCAGCACGTTCAGGGTCAATTCTCACAATCTCGCTGTAAAGCTTCCTCGGCTGAGCTGAGTCGAATGAGCGCCCGGGAGCAGGTCGAAGAACCACCACAACATGCTTCATGGACTCCATGGACATGGATGTTCATGGTATACAAAGAAAATCAAAGAAAGATATATAAAGCGTGAAAATGTGTCAAATAAATTGGACTATGTTGGACAGATACTTGAAAATGGGAATGTAGAAGAGTGCATACTGAAATCGCTGAAATGTACTGAATGGGTGATTTGTATGGCTACTGGCATCGTCCGGTATGGTTGATGTTAAAAGAGGTGAAGCTCCTGTGAAGATCCTGGCTGCTTTGGCTGCTTGGCTCGCCTGGCTCTTTGCAGCCGCGAAGCTCTCCCAAGAGCTGCTTTTGCATTGGCGGAGACATGGATGCGAGGGTTGCTGGTGTGACCTGAGAAGATCTGCACTGCGTCAAATTTCAGGGGCAGCGATTCTGCTGAAAAACGATTGTGAATTTCAGTGTCCGGGAGAGTATTGGACAAGTCTTTGGAGAAATACAGCGAAGGGAACCAAGCAACCCCATGGAAGAAACTTAAAACCATGGCAAACAGACTAACATAGACTAACAACTGCGCTTTATATAACTGTGGGTTCAATTTCAGCATGCCAAGCAATCCAGCATGATCCAGCCGTCACTTCGCTGTTTGTTTTACTGCCAGCTGCCATCGAGTTGCCATCATTTTTGGTCTCATACCACAAGGCCCTCCAGGTCCACAAGGGCCACAGGGTCCCGGCATACCAGGCACTCCATTTGGGCTTGGCACTGGGTAATGTCCCATCCTTGGCGAAAAGGCGGAACAAGGAATATGATTGACACATGTTAGAGGTATCTAGTTGTCAGGTCGAACGGGAGAACCGTTCACTTTGAGCCACCTGATACGCCAGTATATTGATTTCATAGCTCAATATAGCTTAATTAGAGCCTGTAATATCCTGTAATATCCTGTAATCATCATGGCTTAAATGTATTACACATGTCTCATATCCAGCCGCCATAGAATCTGTCTGAACTGCCGTGGATCCAAGGGCCAGGACGGCTTGGAAAGCCTGCACCACAAGGGCCACTGCAAGGGTTACCGCATGGCCCACCGCAAGGGCTACCGCATGGTCCACATGGGCCTGGCCTCATTCCTTGGCTGAGTCTGTTCAGAACATTTTATGGCTTACATTTGAGAACATTACAGAACATTCATGAACATGGCTTAATTGATTCATTCTGCCCATTTTATTCAGATCTGTCCAGTATGCCCTTCTACATGCTACAGCTTCAAGCAGAAAGGAACTCAAGGAACTCATTGAATTAGTATGAATTAGTTAGTGGTTTGTAGTTCCGGATTGTCTGCCTTGGCAGTCTGCCTCTCAGAATTGCTGTGCACAAAATTCTTGAGTCGTGGTTGCAAGTCTTCGTGCGCATGTGGGCAGCAAAATCAGCAAACCTTTTGAAACAAAATTCAAAGCCCCCTTCAAGATCGTCATCTGCTGCGCTGAAATCGCTTGCAGTACCACTTGCAGCACATGTGACATGCATGGACATGGACAAATTGCAAACAAGGCTCCGCCCATTGGTGGCCCCATCATCGGGGGGAACATGGGCCCTCGATTTGGCATACCTCTACCAAGCAAAGTCAGACACAATGTGTGAATGATTCACTGAACGTCATGTTTGGCCCTCAGGGAGATTGATCTCGCCTACAAAACAGCTATACGGCAAAGAATTTACCATTTAAATTTTAAAAATATTTAAAACATAAAACAACTAAAATATGTGCGCCAAGAAGCCCATCATAGGTGGCCGAAACGGCATGTTGCCAAAACCTTGCAAAAGGCAACTGTGCAAAGAGAGTCAGAGAGAGTCAAAGAGAAATGATGAGAAATGTAACTACGTTCCTCATCAAAGGCGCAAAATCAAGCAGCGTAGCATTGGGCACAATCTGCAATATTGGCGATCTAAACCAAGCTCTGCGCTCTGAGATTCTTCCGTATCTTCTGTGCAACCAGGTGGCGTTGACCCGCTCTGGCCTGCCTGGCCTCACGATCCTGTTGCTCACAAGACAGAGATGTGCAAAATCATGCAAAATCTGCAAACAACATTGATTCGAAATGATTCAAACATACTTAAACTGTGCAAACCTAAACGTACCGTAAGAGTGACTTGGAATCCCAGGGTGAAACTCAGGAAGCAGTCCAACATAGTACAACAAATGCTGTTCAAAACTGTTGTCAATGTTCGATTCATGGTCCTGCTTGCTCTCTGCCAAGTCTACGTGTATTGCCTTGCCATTGATCACCTCAGTTCAGGTAAGTTGGAGTCGGACGCGCAGCCGGGGCTTCACAGTTAAACATGTTAAAACCTATCTGTCTTGGCAATATGTGCCAGTCCTGAGATTCCAGCATGCAAATGCATTTGAGAAACTGCCTGTCGGCACCGCATGGCTGCAACATGAACTCACCCAGTGTTTCTTCGAAACCAACTGCATCCAACTGCTCAGTCTCCTGTCGGTGGGCATTTTCAGCTGAGTCTAACAGCCTGATATAGCCTGATGTTCTACTGATACAGTGGGACACAGTGGGATATCTGACGATTTCGCACCAAAATCGTTCTGCTCTACAGCATCTGCTGCATCTGCTGCATCTGCCACCCCAGTGATACCCAGTGATGCCGCAGATGCACCTTCGTTGCCTCTTGGACTGTGCCATAGTTAACAAAGCCAAAGCCGCGGCACTTACCACCTTAGTGTGCCGAAATAATCCGAAATAATCCGGAAAATATCCAAAATATGCCAAATAAAAAGCTGAGTTTGTCAAACTGGTTTCCGAGTTTCCGTCACGGGACTCCCTGTCAAGCCACCAAGGCCCAGTGTACACAACACACACACACACACAACCAGAATGCGCCACAATCGAACTCGCCAACATCACCGGAAGAATCGGTTCAAACATGATCGTCCTTCCGGCTTTGTGTGCTGTTTCTCTCACCACATCACCACATCTGCCAGGGAACTGGAATCACGTGGAACTGTTGCGGAGAGCACCCGACCAAATGGCTCAAAAAGCGAGCGTAAACTCTGGTCAGTCACATCGTCCTGAAGACCCTTCACATATAAACCTTAGATGTCTCCAAGACCAAGGTGGAAATGCTTGAACTTGGAAATCTATGGAAACCTCATACATTCTCATACAGTATTTAATTTCATTTAATTTCAATATATGTATATAAATGTCTTAGAGTTCTGTACATGATTCTACTGCTTCTGGCCACACGCAAATTTGGATCAGGCAAGTCTGGAGGCTCAGCCCAATGAATACCTGCCAAGGTACTTACAGTGGACCTTAGTAGATAACAGTTCTTGTTTGTGGTTGTGGATGGCAATGCAAATCCATGGTCGCAGTTACCCCTGAGGACATCAAAATTGGGGTACTATGAGAGGCATACAGCGATCTGCGAGTGTTCCATTGGGGTAGACTCAGGCGCCCACTTCTTTCCTTTGATTGCTTCCTCGTGTGCATACCTGAGCCACGGAATTTCAGCCTCCATTGTG